GACTATATGATGGTGAAGCCCTGAAGCTGACCAGACGTAAGATCAAAAATTTAAAAGTACGAAACGTAAGAATAGCTGGCACTGCTACTCATACCTAAGCAATTCGCAGCTTGTAGGAAACCAGCTTTGAGTTGGCAAGACTGCAAATTTTGATTTAGAGGCAAGGATGCTTGAAAAGGTGATCGATCTTAGGTGTCCTAGGATAAGTTTGGAAACGGGATGCACCATTCGATGTGTTTTGGGCCTTGCCAAGTTTCGCGGCGTTACGTGCCTCGTTTTTTTTTTTGCATACACGATCAGTATCTACTTTTGGGATTTTCGATTTTCGGTCCCCGTCCCCCCCTATCGAAAACCCGTGGCGCCGCCCCTGAGTGAAACGGATCATGAACCACAGGACAATAATCGCTCTCTCGCCTCAACTTCACGGCAAGGCAGCATGTCACTAACCAGCCATGCTACGATCGTTACTATAGTTTCTGGTCTTGCACCGCCCATCCATCAAAATTCTGTGTATAAAAAACCATAGCTTGATGATAATCGTAACAGCCACACCCCCCCATGAGGCTATGGGATTGTTCGCTGACTATCCGTCCTATCGTCAATCGCCAGCAGTCCGGGATCGTCCATTCACCCCTCCCTACCCGTCCCTCGGCCGCTGGGAGCAGTACCGTGACGAACTATTTGCACTGCGATAACAAACTGTGTCAACGGAACTCGGCATGGGGCGGCCTGAGAGGCCCCGCAGAGAGCTACACCCGTTCCCAACCCAACCATGGTGAGGCAATAGGTTAGGTGCACGCCTTCACCTCAACAGGGAAAACCAGCTTCAAAAATGCATACACATTCGTTGGCGGCATGCACCTATACGGGCCAGAGTGTGTCCCATCGTGTGTGCGTGGCGCAATGTGGTTTAGTGATTTATCGCACTCACTGACGTCGATAAACAAAATGACGGTTTGCGTACCCCTAGTGTAGTTTCCCGACCCGCCTCTACTCGCCGGACGTTACACCAACTATTCCACTGTGCTTCCATTCTGGTGTGCTTCCCTACCGTCCCTAACCCAAAGTCTCACACACATTAACACAAATCAGCCCTCTGACCTGAAACATGACGCCGGTGACGACGACGCGCAGCTGCAGCAGCAGGAAGTAGGTGGTCGGGTCGAACGCCTTGAGGTTGACGAACGTCAGCATGTTGTAGATGCAGTAGAGCACGGCCGGCACCAGGTACAGCAGGCACGCTGTCGGTGACGTAAGTGAGAAAAAAACGTCACTATATCATGGCCGTACAATTAGAATATCAGTTTCATGGTCATACAATATCGTCACGCTTGTGGCTATTTATGATCCATTTGGCCACACTGGGGACAGTGCGAAGCGAATTAACTGATACGAGACATTTATGTAATTCAACACGGACAAATGAAAACAAATAAGCTTCTGAAGGTTGCTTGCTCTACATGGATTTGAGTGCGCACCATGACTAAAAATACACTTACCTCGGCGGTTAGCAATGATCCCTTCGACGAGTGCAGATAGCTGCCATTTTTGCCTGAAATAATAAACACCTTGTATGCATCTATTTTAACCACAAAGACCAGCTTAAAAAATGGCCCCATGAACATGCGACTCAAAATTATGCTGTTGTAGGAAAACGCATGACCAAATAATTACTATGATAATCTTAAATTAGCCAGTAAACACATAAAGAATCTATAACCAAAACTAACGACAATGCCATTTTTACCCATTGCATTCTTGCGACACAATTCACTAGCGTAGGTATGCGAAAAAAACAGGAAGTCACGCCTATTCCGATCCTCTGCCTTGACGTGTAAGCTCCTCTTCCAATGGGATGCCAGCTGCGCCGTAGAGCTCAATGGGAAGTAGGGGTGTATCTATTATTGAACAATGGATTATGGAAGTGACACTGTGTCAGTTGCATACTTCTAGCAACAACCTATTCTGTCATTAACTGTATCATATAGAACAAAAACAAGCCTTATCCTAACCAAAGGTTAATAATACATCACAGAACTAAAGCAACAGCTGTTCTTCAATGGTATTTATGCTACAAGCATACACATGGATACCTTCCTATTAGTTTTGTTCTGCCAAGCAAAAAATCAAACATCCTCAAAACTCCCATACATACACTTATTATGTTACTCTTAAGGCTTGAACTAAATATTTGGTACCATACTCACTTGTGCAGATACAGTGCCAGGGACATGAATAGCTTGGTGAACTCGGTCAAAATTACAACAGTCACTGTGTTGTAGTCATAGCTGTTGTCCTTGTTCTTTGTAGCAGTCACCAGGATTCCTACAGAAACAAGATCATTGTAATAAACATCATGATATAAGGTCAAGTAAAGTACAAATCTCCACATCAAAGAGCAGTAGCAGCCAGCAGGCATCCCCAAACAAAACCCTAGCCATTTTTTCTTTAAAACATCTATACAGCTATGTGCAATCATATAACCTGTCCATAAAAAATAAATAATATGGTCCAGCTGACTAAATGGTAGGATACAGCTCATTTAAATATTAGATAGGTACCCCACACAACATGAATCTTATAAATAAAATTGGCTTACCCTGATTTATGAAGAGAGCCATGTAGGCAATGAAGATGAACAGGCTCCATTTGGTTGGGAAGAGGTCTTTTAGTTTCTGTGCAAGGGACATGGCTCCTTCTCTGAAATGAAGTAATGAAGCTATTATCGAATAATTGTATGTAAGTAAGATTGCTACAGTGCCACACGTACTATATTTTCATTTCTATGCTACAATCACAATCAATGTCCAAAAGAGCAAAAAGCATACTTTTCAAGAGTCTGGACTTTGTCAAAACATTTTTAGCTAGCATCAATGCGATAACCAGCTACTATCTAATCAAACCCAACATAAAGCATTATGGAAGCATAATCAACCACCAAAACTTTGCTGTCAACTTATAAACTGTTTTAACCAATCATCAATAGCTGGAATTAATTTGTAGACTGTTGGTCAGTTGATTTAGTCAATGTTTATTACAGCTGTAATTTTGGGATGGTAGGTACCTACCTGCTAAACCAACTAATTATTATAATTATTAGTTGGTTTAGCAGGTAGGTACCTACCATCCCAAAATGCCAACTAAGCATGTTATCAAGCATAACACGACGATGACACCACAACACAATGGTGAAAGTTGGAAAGTGGAACTTGGAAGTGAAAGCTGAAACTTATAGCCTCTTAGATCGAAATAGCTTTGCTCTCGGCCTCTCCTATAACAACATGACTAGCTCTTGGACTAGCATTTTTTATGAAAATGAAAACACACCTGGACCTCTTGCTTTGGGAAATTCACGCTTACATCGCTCCTCGCGGCCCAGACGCCCCAAACCAAATGCGATTTACTCATAAAATGTGACATCGATGTGAAAGCTTCTGTTCAGAATTTGAGCTCACACTGAGATACCATAAGGCTGCCTTCAGGGCCTCAGGAAAATCAGAGCTTTCTTTGTTCTTGCTGTATTTTTGTGGAATTTTTCTCTCGTGCGACATAATACATGACATAAGAAGCTCAATTCAAAGTTTTGAATTTTACCAGGGCACGAGAAATGGCCAAAAGTTGTGCGATTTGGTCACGTTGCCATAGAAACTGGCAAAGCAAAAAGATCCGACACCGATTCTAGCAGTATTGAACAGGAGATGACAAACTATGAACGTATCAGCAGCGTCACGAAGTGTCAGCTTAGTCAGAAAACAAACAAATAGGAAGCAACCACTAAATTATAGACTGTCAAAATACGGTGAATAACAATTGCGCTGTGTACAAACTGCGACCAGTAAACGACGTGAACGCACTATCCACAGTATGCAGCATAATAAACGTGGTGTGCTCAACTATTTTGCCGGGTGCTTCTCACCTTGTAAGCCTGCAAGCATTGACGATTCTCAGTGCAATCATGTTTAGCAACGAAGCCTCGGTCCACGGAACAAATGACTGGATCGTCCAAAGGAATATGGCCAGCTCGAACGGACGGCAACACTTAGCCAAATGAGAGGCTGTGTAGAAATGAGATCATTTCTACACATGAACATACATCAGGTGACGAACGGGTGGCGGATCAATAACGATAGCCGCCCACACAATTATGCGAATGTGATAACATCGTCGACCCATATCCGTGCTGTTATAAAAACACAGACTGTAAGAGATGTTTCATGAGTGACGTACGGCCCTCCAGCAAAAGAGTGGTTGGTTAGCCAATGTGCTTTGATTTTGGTGTAATAACTTTGAATATCACAGACACTCCTGTAAAATGACTCAATAGAAATGATCAGAGGGTTCGCGCACACACTTCGGCAATGGTTTTCAACAGCCGCTAGACGTACCTACTCAGCAATGCAGATCGCTCATTGTGATGTTGGCAACCAACCACTAAATACCTGGAGGGCCGTACCTGCTCATCGCTCATGTTTCGCAATTCGCATACAATCTCCATGTACGGTGCCACGTCATGCCATCGTTTGAATGCTTAGTCTATCCCTTCAGGACCGTTATACGGAATCGTGTCACCCAAAGTCTTGCCATTCTTGGAGTGAAGCCATACGGCAGCAACCGGGCCGCCCTGTTTCAAAGTACACTAACAGCGCCCCGAAAAGCAAAACCGGTTTCTATCAACATTCAACCTGGGATGCTTACCATGCAGGTTGAAAAACCGAAGGGGCTGGCCAAGATTTTCACAGATGGGGCTGGCAACCGCTCAGCGGTTAGCAGTGAGCCGTGATTGTGAACGATCATCACCATTGAGTTAAACATGTTCTTCAATCTTCACCACTTAATTCAGTGAACTGGCAAGTGGCAGGATCAAAATCTTGTCTCAACACAACGAAGCCGCATCCCTACAAACGACGGTACGCTGTCACACATATAGCGCAAACAACCAAAGATACCTATAATAAACAGAGAACCGACCTCCCTGGATCAGAGGTCATAAAGACATCGGATGACAAGGTGATAAAAGTGTCAGTCATGTATTTATCAACCGTCACTTGACTATCGTGCATTTCACACATAAATAACCGCACACCCACTCAATTCTTCGGCAGTATTGCTCAGTGCTTGTGCACCTACTTTTGTCGTCAGCATATTCAATTCGTGCAATATAGATACGCGTAAAGCAAGCGTTTGCTACTAGTCTCATGCTATCAAAACTAAACCAGCACAGTACAGCACAGCACTTCAAACATTGCTAATGACCAGTTAACTTTGATCGATATTCAATACTAAAGCACAAAACTCCACACCATACAACGACCGCCCTTCTCTCACCAGTCCCAAAACAGTTGGCCCGTTCCGAGTTGGAGAGGGCGACGAAGTGATACTTCGGGCGAGAAGAGACCGGCTGAGTCCGGCCCACTCGGCAAGGCACCCTAGAGACGGGGTCGCTGCAGCATCCATAGGCCCATACGCGGGGTTGGATCGCACCGGGACAGGACATTCAACCTACAACGGTCGAGGTGCCTCAGACACTACGCTTACCGTGATCAACAAGATCGGTGAGTGATCAGCGAGACAGCTGACCGGGCTTACTGTAAGTGGCAGCTGTTGTAAGGTTTCAGACTGATGATGGCATCAGGAGTGAATGAACTGTCACGATCAGCAAATAAATTATCGATTATCTAGTCGAAATGAACAGAATATGTGACTTCACCAGAACAGATGACTTTAAAAAGGCCGCACCTTGAATATGATCACTAAAATATGTGTCGATTGCCGAGCTTCCACACAATGCATCTTGACACCCAGATTACGGTGTGAATCCTGACATCCATAAAGAGAGTCACAACTGAACAACGACGGTCAAATGCCCTGACCAGCGAGCAATATGCATAGGACACAAGTCAGATCTCGCGCCAAACGAGGCATCTAAAAACCGATTAGACGTTGTGATCTAAGATGGCACCCTGTAAACCTATGACTAGAAGTGAGCATTCCACGTGAGCACAAAATCGTTCGGTGAGAGACGACAAGTCCCGATGACGCGTCCCCACGCCTACCAAACACACAGCTGTAGACCCACGCGGCACATTCAGTCCCGCTTCTTGTTCCACTTCTTTTTGCGGGGCATCATGGCCTTCATGAGCTCTTCCTCGTCGATTTCCTTTACCTTGAGGTAGCGCGGAGCAAAGGCGATCCACACAATTGTCACCACTGCGGGTCGAAAAAAGGAGCGTGCAATGTGTCAGGGCGCGGGCTTCGCGGAGAGTCTGCTCGTGAGGCTCGTCCAGCAGCAATTTGTTAGAAGATGGATAAATATCCTCATAAATGTTGTCCTTTTAGGAGAAAAGAGTGAAACATTTACGATAATTGCTTTCTTAAAGAAACATGTCAACGAATCAGACAGAAAAATGATTCTGATGAGTAGTGGCAACTGGCAATCACTTTTTACACAAGATAAGAACATATGGTGCTATCGTATTCATTCAAGTTGATAAGCAATTAATTGAAAACCAATGACACAACATATGTTTCTACTTTCTACCATCTTAGCCAAGGTACTTGCCTGAAATAATAATAGGAAAAAGGGTGGTGAATCCACAGTAAGCTGTCTTGTAATAAAAAGTCTCCAGTCCAAAATAGATGATAGTTATCATCAAAGTGCATATTGCTGCACTAATCAATCTGAAAGTGAGAAAACAGGTATTTCAGGGATAAAATGTCAATAACACTCCCCTGAAAAGCAAGTGTGGAAAGGTGAAAAGGTAACCAATTGAATGTTTAACAAGTGAATGAAGCATTGCGATTCAAAATATGAGCACCAGCCTTTAGCATCTTTGATGGCTAATAACACCATCACCATATATGTATTACATTGCATACTTACGGATAGTATTCTATCCTGAAGGCACTGTGAATAAGAATGACAGCCTGCAGGACATGGAAGGTCCCAAATATTCTTCCTAGGCCAGGAGTCACTGCAACATGAAAAATGTTAAACATTTGTTAACTTACTATCCATATACAAGAAATAAAGGTACAAATATCTGTATGTTTACACAGCAGGCACATTGTAAATACATAAGTTCAAACAGATTTAGTTATCATTCAAATCATGCCAGCTTCCAGACCTACACAACATGCATAATATAGTTGGATATATCAATTGTGTAGCTCTGAATTACATATACATCAACAGCTTTTGTCACTGGCCGAATATATTCACACATTTTGTCAGGGAAAGTGGAAACAGAAATAAAAGCTTTCCTACTTTGTTACAAGCTAGAAAAAAACACTTAAAATCAATGTTGTCCATTTTAGAGTGACCATCCCACTTTAACATTAGTTTTGAGTTGAGATAGCCAAATGGGGTCCCTGGCTTGAACTGACTGGTTTGAACACTCAAAACATCAAGAAATGTCTCAAATAGAAAAAATCTAATTTCAAAGTTGCAGCACTTTGGATTCAGAGGGGCTAATGCATTTGAATGCCCCTCTGAATGTGTGATGTCAGCGCAGATCTAAAGATTTCCAATTTTTTACTAAAATGTTTGGTAGCATGTGGTTATATGCTGCATTGCGCGCATGAAGTGCCGCACTTTCAGCTGCCAAATTATTGCTTCCAAATAAAGTCACTAGGAACAGCGGAGATCCCAAAAATAAAAAAGGAAAAGTCCAATATCTTGAGAACCAGTGAATATTTTTCGGTGAAATTTGGAAGACATTCGTTTTCTCTCTTTCTGAACCGAGCAGCATCACTTTCATGCCAATCCATTAACTTTTTTGAAGGTGGGAACCGAGGGTCCCTTAAACATAGGTACTTTACTTACCTGGCATGTGTTTTTGACTTCCAGCAAAAAGTTGATTGCCTAAATAGTTTTCTGTATCCAAATAGCATCTAATGGCAGTTGCCATGCTGATAAATGCAACAAAAGCTATCCAGCCTCTGAGAGCATAGATCATAGAATGAACCATTTTCACGCTATTGCATGATTACAAATGAAACTCTAAAATAAACTCTCTGTTACTGCCGTACCTAACAAAACATCTCGTATCCCACGTCAACATTATAACTGTGTTTGAAGAAAACGTATATGCTAGTCAGGTATTGCTGATGGTGCATAAAAGCCAATCACAGTGATCTGAGAGTCGAAATAGTCCAATCACCTTGACGATTCTGCCTTGAACATTTTTCTGCGCACCTTTGACAACAGTTTTTATACGCAACATTCGCGCCATTGATGCCGCATTTGTTTGTTTCCATATGAGTGATGTGGAAACAAAAGAAGCTTTGTGTGAGTAAAGTAAATTTTGTGTGGTTTCCGTCTGTATATCTATGGGTTTTCGACTAATTGTATACACTAGTTTTCGAGACGATGTCAAAATTCACCAACAAAAAGCAATGATGCGATAACGCGACTGCAGACATCTCGCGTCGGTATTCGAACGTGGGCGAAAATAAGTGTGGGCCACCCAACACACCCAAGTCGCGACCAGATGGAAATGCGGCACTACAGTAGGAACTAGGAAATCCTGGAGCACCGCCCGCCCGACAACTGCATCTGGGTTTCATTGAGATTAAAGATCACAGACCGCAATCAGAGACCAGATACCAGGGCTAAATGACTTCCATTTCGTGCGACTCCGACCTCTAAAAAGCTGTTACATCCGACTGCCGAGGCGCCAGTTGATATTTCTTTTCTCTAACGCAAATCACTCTTTTAGCTCGACTGATAATACAAAGGAAAAATAAATTGAGGTCAGGATACGAATCCAGTGTATGCATTGGTCGCATAGTTCATCACAATCAGCAGTACAAAAGACTGTGTATTTCAGTAAGGGAATTGCAATGTAACAGACCAAGGGAGCGACAATACAACAGGCCCTACCGCACCTACCAGCGTCAGCGCATTACACAGAGGTGTTAGAAAAGCGTGCGCACCGCACCGGCCTGAGCGCAGCCCGTCAGTCTTCATTTATGTATCCTGCACCCCAGGCGCACCCCACACGGGACGGTACCGACGCGTAAATCTGCACTCTTCCGGCCAGTCTCGAAAGACAGCCGACTGTCTTGACTGTCTCAGTGACATATGTCTGACCACCCCCGCTACGGCCACAATCAGAACCCCAGCGCCGCCACAGCCGAGATGAGGCGCGGGGCGAACCACAGGGCAGTGCACAGCTGCCAGCCAGCGGTCGGTCCGATTACGAGCACGCTGAGGACGACCCAGAGGCCACGTCCGTCCCGCACTGCGCACCGCGGCGGGACGGGCCAGCTCGCCAGCGGCGGCTACCACGGCGGTATCACAGTCATAAGCCTCTGGTATCACTACCGAGCTCGGAATGCAGCGCTCTATAATCGGCCAACGGAAACTGGACAGCGGTGAAGAAACTGGAAGAGGGAGAGTAGAGATAGGAGTAATCACCGTTGTGGTGACTGGTGACGTGAGACGTGACCGCGGGGGAGTCTGCCTGCAGGACAGACCGCCTACCCATTAGTGTGACGATAACAACCAAACATACACATTATACGTAGCCCAACAATCCGGCGCCGACGGCCGTCCGGCCGGCCACCATTGGTAGTGAGTTTCTCGCTGGCGGCGCGAGGCCCGCGGCTGCCCATGAACACCTGCATTCACCACACACCAACTCAGTCCGCCTTCCGCGTGCGTCGCTTCCGGGCCTCGGGGCTGCTCTTCTCCTTGGGAGCCGACTCCTCCTCCTCTTCCTCCTCTTCTGCTTCTTCCTTCTCTTCATCGTCATCTTTGCCATCTCCCGACTGCTTCTTAGCGGCCTGTGAACGGATTCGGTCCGTCAACAGAACACTCACGCGTAAAGAAAGAACTGACATGACGATCAACTTACAGTAGCTGGAATGCAGCGACGTTACCACTAATCAACCACATTTTCCCGACGATCATTTGAAGTTTAGGTCAATTACAGTTTAGCGTTTATCACACACCTTTCAACAACAAATTAACAGAACAGATCACTTGCTGACACTTATCCTGAGTACAGCCGAAAAAAAACGGAACAGGATAATTGCGTCAACGAGGAAACCAGTCACGTTTTGACACTATCGAGTACCAGGCACCAGGCAGGATCGAGTATCAAAGTGACAAGGGACAATCCATGATCAAAACGTGCTTGCTAATCAAAACGTTTCATCCATCCCGGCCGACAGAAGTGTGTGTAATGTGTATGTGTGTGTGTGGGGGGGGGGGGGGGAGTAGGGATGAGGGGCTTATGCCACTCCCAGACGGGGCGTTCCACGACAAATCGACAAGTGCCCTGCACCCTCATATTTTATTTTTTGCTTAAAATTGGTCTAATGGGTTGTGATGGGCGGGGAAGCCAGCTGTGACAAGGATTTTTTTCTTCGAACAACGGTTTCCGAGATATAGCCTCGGGCAATTCCTGGAGGTCGCGCTGCAGCCCTATGTTTGGCGGCCTATAACTCAAAAACTATTGGTTTTCTAAGATAAAAATTGATATGGTTCAACTCACAATCAACCAACAAACATTTAAGCTATCTCGGATTTTCAATTTTTGAAAATTTTGATCACGTGATCTTTTGACATATTTTTCGAAGAGTGACCTTGATATTTTCCCCACTGAAAGTTGCAATTTTGTCTGATGACGATTGAAGCCTTATCAATTGTCATTCATATGCGAAAATAAAAAAAGTGGATATCGCCCTGCGTTGACCTCAGGTCAGGTCATTTTTATGACCTGTCCATTATTACGAGCGGGAGCGACAGCGAGATCTCGAGAATAAAGCAAGATAGCGACAAGCGGTAAACGGTGCAGGGTACACACGGATAAGGTCTATAATATTTACTGAGGTCATTTTCAGGTCAGGTCAAAGATGACGTCACAGGAGCAAAAAGGAAGTAAAAATTGCGGCACTACATATATATGAAGTTTTTCTCGAATAACTTTCAAGGTATCCCAGCTAGGAACAAACTAATAGCACCATCGTGATCCTCTCGTCGATCCGCATCGAAACATATGTATGTTGACCTCGAAAGGTCGAAAGGTCAAAAGTTGACCTTAGGTCACGTGACCTAAGGTCAACTTTTGACCTTTCGACCTTTCGAGGTCAACATACATATGTTTCGATGCGGATCGACGAGAGGATCACGATGGTGCTATTAGTTTGTTCCTAGCTGGGATACCTTGAAAGTTATTCGAGAAAAACTTCATATATATGTATTGACTTCCTTTTTGCTCTTGTGACGTCATCTTTGACCTGACCTGAAAATGACCTCAGTAAAAATTATAGACCTTATCCGTGTGCACCCTGCACCGTTTACCGCTTGTCGCTATCTTGCTTAATTCTCGAGATCTCGCTGTCGCTCCCACTCGTCACGTGACCTAAGGTCAACTTTTGACCTTTCGACCTTTCCAGGTCAACATATATATGTTTCGATGCGGATCGACGAGAGGATCACGATGGTGCTATTAGTTTGTTTCTAGCCGGGATACCTTGAAAGTTATTCGAGAAAAACTTCATATATATGTAGTGCCGCAATTTTGACTTCCATTTTGCTCCTGTGACGTCATCTTTGACCTGACCTGAAAATGACCTCACTAAATATTATAGACCTTATCCGTGTGTACCCTGCACCGTTTACCGCTTGTCGCTATCTTGCTTTATTCTCGAGATCTCGCTGCCGCTCCCGCTCGTAATAATGGACAGGTCATCAAAATGACCTGACCTGAGGTCAAAGCGGGGCGATATCCACTTTTTTTATTTTCGCATATGAATGACAATTGATAAGGCTTTAATCGTCATCAGACAAAATTGCAACTTTCAGTGGGGAAAATATCAAGGTCACTCTTCGAAAAATAGGTCAAAAGGTCACGTGATCAAAATTTTCAAAAATTGAAAATCCGAGATAGCCAAAATGTTTTTTGGTTGATTGTGAGTTGAACCATATAAAGTTTTTATCATAGAAAACCAATAGTTTTTGAGTTATAGGCCGCCAAACATAGGGCTGCAGCGCGACCTCAAGGAATTGCCCGAGGCTATATCTCGGAAACCGTTGTTCGAAGAAAAAAATCCTTGCCACAGCTGGCTTTCCCGCCCATCACAACCCTTTACACCAGTTTTCAACGAAAAATAAAATATGAGGGTGCAAATTTAATTTTTTATTTGTCGATTTGTCGTGGAACGCCCCAGACGGTTTTTTCACTAAGGTCACGTGAGGTCATCGGAGTTTTTGGTCAATAAATCGCGACCAAAACGATTTTTAGTAAGAGAGTCGTGAAAGGCTCAAATGAATGCAGAACGATTGGCCGAATCGAATGATATGCAGCTTCACCGACAAAAAAGTTGACCATTCGACGACCTATGACAGGCAAAGCGATGGTATCAAGTCATTGCCCTGCGACCATTTTGCCTGGTTGTTGACTGGACCCGAAATAATCACTAGTTGACTTAAAATTAAAAAAAAAAATGGGTACTAATCGCTGCGTTTCGTAACGGCCCGCTCGCTTATTTTTCCGTGAGGCTCTAGTTTCTTCGAGGACAAAACGACAAGGAGGTCGTACTAGCCTCCCTCGGTCATAACATAGGTAGTTATGTTGAAAACCAATAGGTCCCGCAATGCTCGAGAAGGTGACTGCTTAAGATAATCTATTTGAATAAATAACTTAAAAACAGAAAAAAACTTATGGGTATTGAAAGCAGGAAATACCGTACTAACGAAACGTATGCCAAATAATCAATATACGAGTAGTCCAAACAGGGCCTGTTTCACCGGTAATAGCAGCACGCTGCTATTACACGTGTCGAATCGCCGCTACCCTCGCCACAGCCCCTCCTGAAGCTGGTCCCCATCACGATGGGTGCGTCGCAGGACGCACGTCTGGCCCGGCAGAAGAGTCTGACTCAGCCGTAGACGGCGAAGTAGCTCCACCGGCTTCTTCATCAAAATCCAGCGTATTTGGCCAGCTCATCGAGAATGGGAGAAAGCTAGCCCCAAGCGACTTCGAGGTTCCATGGGGCGAAATATTTTATCCCCTACTCACTACGCATTACGTTACGATACGCTATATGCCCAGCTTTGAGACACTCGGAAGTCGGACCCCGTCATCTGACTCACGTCGTCGTCCTTTTTGGTGATCTCCGGCGGCAGCTCGCCCGATTTTTGCGCGCAGCACACGTCGATGCAGCAGACGAACAGGAGTCCGAGAAGGGCGCCGATGATGACGGTGGCCAGGATGAAGAGCAGGTAGCTGCCCCAGACGGGCACGCCGTACTCCTCCGTCAGAGAGGTGTGCACGTTCTGCCGGGATGGACGCAGGGGCGGGGTTACGAAAAGGACGCAGAAGTCATCGGCACCCGTACGGTATGTACATGTACACGATGTCGGACAGTTGCAATAATTAGCCACGGGCATGTAACAATTTTTAGTTAAGAATTCATCAGTAAAAGTGTTCACTTCATGGAAAATGGTATGACTTGCACTCCAACTTCATCTGACTTGTAAATTATGGAGTATGGACTGCAGCTGGCTTGTAGACAAAAGACTGTAAAGTGTAATTGGCTTCCATAACACACATAGTTGGCACTGATGCAGCTTGAACCAAACTGTCAAAACCCATCAACTCTGGTGCAAGTCACTCCCAACTAAGTTACGGTAGACATCAATGTAACTTTCTGCCAAATAAAACTGCAGAATGGCAAGACAATCACAGGACTCACCCGCAACACCATCGAGAGCCGGAAGAACTGGGCCAGGACGGACATCTGCACAGAGTCGGGTGCCTTCCAGCTGGACACGGTCTCCAGCTGCTGCCACTTCTTCTCCTCCACAAAGCTGATGAACTGCTCGCGGTCACGAGAGCCCTTGTACTGACGGAAAATGCCATCCTTTACACTGAAAGTGGTAAGACAATGTAAATGAAGGGAAACCAAACATGTCATTGGAATGTTGTAAGAAAGTAAGAATCTCAAATGTACAATTTTAAATTAACTGTTACAACACAAAACTGATAATCAGATGGCCCTATACAAATAATATCTGAAGCTGAAAAGTTCAAGTGACAGATACACATACCGTAAAATGGGGTGTTAAGGGACAGTGGGGTGTTAAGGGACAGTTGCATGGGAAAAACTTTGAGTCATATTAACTTCCTAATTTGAGAAGGTTCAATAAAAACTTCAGTGTGGTAGTTGACACTGTTTTGCTCTTGACCATAGGAGAAAATGGTATGGTTTTTCATGCAAGTGATTTGGTTCAAAAATGGATTTGAAAATCATGCTACATTTTCACAAAATTGAAACATCTCCAAAACTCTGTGTGTACCACATAAACTAGTGGGTGTACAGGGAAAATGAATGCATAGGTGTATTGTCACATGTATTGCACATGTTTCCTGAAAAACTTGTGCAAATCCACCCATTCATTCATCATCCTCTTCCTCTTTTCCGGATACATGCATATTTTGAGGTGGATGTGGGGTGCTAAGGAACAGGGAAGAAAAAAATAAAAAATAATATCTAAATATAATTTAATTAAGTAGGCATGGAAAACACCAAATTCCACATAAAATGCTGGCAAGTTCATGCTTTTATCTCTTACACATCTTAAGCTATGTAACAAAACATCTCAACACTCTCTTTTACAATGATGGGTCAATGGAGACTGATGTAAGTAAATGTGATGTCATCATAAAAAGGCTAAAACAAAGAGGGCAACATAATGACAAGTGACAAGCTTCAACATGGGTTTTTATTAATGACAGAAGATTACTTTTTAGTTCTGTTTACCTTATAATTAGCACATTTTCCACAAGCGTAAACTGCATTACACGTAATTGGCTAAAATGGTCATTAGTGGTGAATGAACCTGACTTGTTTTATGACAGAATATGCAAAACATTTCAATAAATAAATTGTGTGCCCTTCCACACCCCAATTGTGGGCATTTGATGACCATTTCTTGGAATAATATAGGTGTCCCTTAACACCCCACATTGGGGTGCTAAGGGACAGTGATGAAAAATAATAAAAAATAATATGCAGGTATAAATCTTAAAAACTTTAATGTGGCAGGCATGTAAAGCACCAAATTCCACATAAAATGCTGACAATTTGATGCTTCTATCTCCAACCCTTCTTGAGTTATATAACAAAACACCTCAAAACTGTCCCTTAAAGGGACCCTCCCACCTTAACATTAGATTTGAGTTGAGATAGCCAAAATGGGGTCCCTGGCTCACAATTACCGGTTTCGGCACTCACAACATCGAGAAATGCCTTAAATCGGTAATATTGAATTTCAAAATTGCAGCATTTTGATTCAGAGGGGCTAATGCTTAGGAATACCCCTCTGAATGTGTGACGTCAGCGCAAATATCTAACGATTTTTAAATGTTTGACTAAAACGTTTTGTAGCACGCGGTGGTATATGCTATTTGCGCGCAACATCTGCCGCAAACGCCGCACTTCTAAAATAAAGTCGCTAGAAACAGCGGAGATCCCAATAAAAGTAAACAAAAGTAAAAGTCTAATATCTTGAAAACCGGTGTATATTTTTCGGTGAAATTTGGTAGATATTCGTTTTTGCTCTTTCTGAACCGAGCGACATCACTTTCATGCCAATTCATAAACTTTTTTGAAGGTGGGAGGGTCCCTTTAACACCCCATTTTACGGTACATTTTCAAACATCTGAGGGTAATACAATTATGATTCTGCAAGTACCTATCTAAAAATACAAACAGATTGAACTCACTGGAAGATAGTAGGTAGAGCAGTTATCATGAAGCGCCCACTGAGGCCTGGCGACTCAGTGATGTCCACAGCTCCGACCTTGATCTCCAAGTCTTCACTCCAGGTGGCAAACTCAGACCAGATGGGCTGAAGAGCCTTGCATGCTGGACACCATGGTGCATAACTATTGGACAAAGACATTTTTTTGTCAGATTGAGTTCGGGACATTCATCTACCATTACTTGTTCCCTGGTATTGGTATTGCAAATTATTGGGAGATCATTATGCTGCAATGCATACTGAACTGACACTTGACAATATGTAATGCATGACTTTGTGTGAATACAAAACACTAAATATTTACGTTGTCCAAGATTTGCTTGAGCAAATGTAAGTGACCTTAATCATTACTAGGTCATGGTTTTTCCAAATAACTGAACCTGTTCCAATCAGTGGCAGTTCTGTGCAGAACCCAAAACAGCAAATTAAAGTAGTGTCCTGAAAATCACATTCCAATTCTTTCTTGGTTTATCTAGCATCCTATCTAGCATTTCAGAGCAAATCCATAACAAAATAGTGACCTTTCGGCTTTCCTAAGGACTTTTGAATGAAATAAGAAGAAATTAATATATTTTTGGCAAACATACTTCAAGGTCTCTTCACAAAGGCAAAAACAAAGTTATCATCATAGTATTCAATATTGAGGCATAAGTTGCGCATGACAGATACAGACTTTTCCGCATACTTACAACTCCACCATCCATTCACCGTCGAGGAGTTGAGACCAATCATCTTCTCCTATGTGTTTCAATGTACCTTTTCCATGAGAAAGCCCTAAAACCAGAAATATACAAGAAATAGCAATAACGGCCCTAGAGCCAGCGCTCATGGACGACGCCATATTCAAAGGATGACGTCACACGAATTCTGACTTGTAATTGGTTCCCTTTACAGACGCGTGGCTCAGCTTCAGGGGGCGGGGCTTTTCGGTTTGTAGATGCCAAAAACACTGCCAAATCTACGTGATGGAGTTTCACGCCACATAAACAGCTGCAGTCATTGGGATTATTTGCATGCTTGGAAAACTAGCATATATGTGGCTTTGTTACTATATAGAAAGGTACAGCAATAATATTTTCGTGGTAACCAGCGGTACCTCACCTATACACCGACTACATCTTTGCATTCCGAGCAAAAGGTCAAAGGCGATGCGAGTGATGAGCGATGACAGATTGCAATTAAGTTCAGCACACGGAAGTGACCTAAAATAGTGTCTTTAACTTTTAAGGATAGGTATTGCAATTTGCAATATCTATCCTTAAAAGTTAAAGACACTATTTTAGGTCACTTCCGTGTGCTGAACTTAATTTGGTCACGCATAAGAAACCATAATGCATCAGTGCGGTGTGCTCCGCACCGTGCTTTCCATCCTCAGGGTGCTCAAATATTTCTCCTCCACACCTCAACCCTCGATCCGGGCTGGGCGGTCACCCCTGTCCCATGCGGGTAGCTTCAGCCCAGGAGCAGGCCCGTAGCCGGGTGCGGTGATATTTAGCGGGGCTGGGTGGCCTGTCCACGTGATGCGTTCAACCCCGGCGGAGCACCAGGGTACCCTCCCAGACCAACGTCTCCTACTGAACGACTCCTATTGCCTTTCGGCCCTGAATTGGTCGTTAGACCGAAAGATCCTTCTCACCCCCCCCCCCCCCTCCCCCCAAAAACTGCGTTGCAGTTAGCTATGGCCGTTATTGGGACAGAGAGCAGCAATGCAACCCAACAATGCTCCAACACCGCGAGGCAGGAGGCTCCCTCAAACTTGCATTATTAGCACATCTCCGATATCTGACTACTGAGCAGCTCAGATGCACGTTAATCCCCCTCGCACTTGACGGAAACACAGATTCAACATCGAACAGAAAAATACACGTCAATTTCGGGAATATGTATGTGCAACACTTGCAGGCAGACATGTCGACCGCACTGCTCGTCATTGGAAGCTCGCAGAACGTTCGTCAAATACATCAGTGCAGATTCACTACCTACACTTACTAGTTACTACATCGCTGACCTACAGAATAAGAGTAGCGGATCATATACCCGCACACACTCGCGTATGGACGTTTATCGGTTAACGTGGTTACAATGCACGACATACCGCTGGTACGTCAGCAATCACGTTCAATGCGCGCATATTATGCTTGCATATTCACCCCAGCATATATGCTCCGTGAAAGCTGCACTTAGAAAACGAGAGTCGGATTACTTTTCAGACGTCTCGAGATTCGCTGAGACACCGTTTAAAGGCGCAACAAAAACACGAAACATCGGTGTTGCACAACAGCAGTCAGCGTTTTCCGTAAGCCACACAACTGATACAAATTTGTGCATCACAGCAACTTTAAGAGCAGTGCAAAGTTCTCAAACACGCCTCCGGTTCACTACACGCTCGTTCGATGATCGCACACTTCCACCGCGGTAACGGCCACGTCTGTACCGCGCGGCTTATCGGCCAGTTCGACATCGTTCACGGCTCAGTGCCAGCATGAGCTGCCGCTCTGGACCCACGCCGAGACACTCATCGTCTTCTCGACCCGACGCTCCCTTCCCCGTTCCCAGTCGCGCCCACCCCATCCCTCGCGATCCCATCTCCGCAAGGAATGTAGCCAGCCCCGGAAAAGCTCACCCTACGCCTTCTTGGTCCGTTTGGAGGCGGAGGCGGCGGGTTCGGCCGCCGCGCCGCGGGCGGGCCGTTTCCTCAGTTTGGTGTCGGCAGGACCTGCCGAGTCGGCACTGCCGCCCTCCGCCGTCTCGTCCTCGGCCGGTTCGCCGGTGTAGGCGCGCAGCCGCTCCTCGACCCGGCCCAGTTTGGTGGTGAGGTCGGCGATCACCAAGTCCTGGGCAGCCAGCTTCTCTGCCTGTTCGTTCATCTGTTGTCGCAGCTCGGCCAGAATCTGCGCCTGCGCAGTGGAGCGAGACCGCTGCGCGGACACCTGCGGGAGAAGCGGGGGTAAGTGTGGGGTTAGGGATCGCCCATGGGACAAAGTGAATATGATAATGTACTGGAATATTACTCAAAGGCGTCTGATTTCCTTATTCGTATTCGTAAGCTGCAGCGCTACTTTCATCAATAGCCGATGCTAGCGCGCGGAAATGGGTACGTAGGTAATAATGGAGACAACGCACGGATATAGCGTAGGGTATGTCATAAATGGCATCAAAATGTGAACGAAACAAATAAGTACACGCTAAGCGAAGCAGAACACTGCTATTCGGTCTCATCTAATGCAACACAGAGCCATCAACGCATCTCGGCCATACCTGCTGGTTCAGCTTGGCCACCGAGTGTTCCACCACGTTGATGCTCTTGTTCCGAGCCTCCGAGGCGGCCCTCTGAGAGTTGAGCAGGTTGCCCAGAGAGGCTCCCGGCCAGCCGGCATCGCCCACGCCTGCGTCACCGTCTGGAGGCAGAGCGGAGGGTGCGCAGTTGAAAATCAGGCGTCAGGAGATGTCCGAGAGACACGATTCCGAATTAGTTCACAAACATTGACCTGTAATCACCGGGTTTCTAAGAAGCAAAGGTGTATATAGGCAAAATTGAAAAACTCCTTTTTATCATCAACACAATGGGCCCAGTCTGTGTTAGCTGTGTCGGAAAAATATGTGCATTACGCAAGAATATTCAAGACCATGCAAATAACAAAAATAAAACAGCCAGTGAGTTTGGTAACTGCATGTCTCGGCTTTCGATACATTACGACCAAATGGGTGGGGAAACACAACGATGGCTGCGGAGGTTCTATCTATCGCAAACTAATCAACAAACACCTCCCTAAAAGGATGCAATGTATTCCTACGAAAGAAAAGCTGCGAATGAAAGTTACGAGGTCGGCGTGACCATGGGTGAATGACGACACAAAGACAGGGCGGTACCGGTTTCATTGGGCACCGAGCACTCACCGCTGCCGCCGCTGGCGGCGCCGGAGAACAGGCTGAGCAGCGAGAGCGGCCGGGGCCGAGTCTCGCACCGCTTCAGGCCCGGCACGATGTGCTCCTCAAAGTGTTCCATGGCCATGGACGAGATATCGCGGAGTTCTTGAAGCACAGTGAACGAGGAGCGCTCCACGGTGCGCGCGTCCTTCAGATAGCGCACCACTTGGAACACCTCGTCCAGCACCTGTCGAGGAGAGGTACCGGGCTCAGCGGGCACTGTACCGACCAGCTGAACCACTCGCAAGTTACACTGACCAGAGCTCTGTTCGGTCGCTGTTTTTTACCAGCATGCTGTCGGTTTTCCCATATAAGGAAGTTAATTGCTGGCGTTTCTTGGCCTCTCATGGTCAAATGCATAGAACACATGAATTTGCTTCATAAGGAGCCAAGAAATAGCAGCAGACTCGCAGCCTGCTGATAAAAACTGCGGCCAAACATCGCTCAGGCTAGTTGGAACTTGGAAGGACTCCTGGCATGAGGTGTGAAACGGAAGGGGAATCACAATTACTATGCATATCTTTCATAGTACCTTAATTGTATGCCGACGTAGACCAACAGTGCTAAGCTGTGGCCTGTAATCACCCTAAAATACGCTCAGAATTCAGAATTGAGATAAACTGAAACTTAAATTAGACTCACTAAGATATAATGCGACGGTGCATGCCCTCATAGACAGACTGACATTTGTATAATCTAGCTGACATCTGACCTGCCCCTTAGGCTGACTACAGCCACCACTCTGATCTGCCTTTCACGACTCACGCACCTTTCCGGGAATGAAGCAGCAGGCGTCTGTGTCCATGTACCGGCGGTAGGTCATGCTGAGCAGGCCGAGCCGAGTCTCCACGGCGGCCAGGTGCTCCACGCGCCGCGACAGCGGGTGCTCGCGCCGCTCCGACTCGCGGCGCGGCAGCTGCGCCCGGAACATCTTCAGCGCCGACTGCACGTACCGCTCCGCGCGCGAGAAGCCCTGGTTGAGCCGGTGACGGCAGGCACGCTCGAAGGCGCGGCATACCTGCACAAGTGGAGTGATGGCGATGGAAATGATGTAATAAAGAATCTTCGTAAAGTAATCAACTAGTTGAAGATCACACACAACCAAATAAAAAAGTCATTGTAATAATAAGTCAAAAAAGGTTCATCCAGCCTGAAATCCCGGCATACTCCCTATATAATATAAATGTACTTACTAATCTGATGTTTGAGACTGTCTCATATGGCAGGTAGCTGATAATGAGCTCAAGGACCTCAGGAGGGAGAGTTAAAATGCCAGCTTGCTGATCTTTATAAGATGAAGTTTCAGACATGAAGTCCATTTTGATTTCTGAAAGCATAGAAATTAGTTAGGAGTTTCAATAAATTCACAATGCTACGGGGTAAAACACCATGAAGGTAAAAGGCTACCACCTATCCTATCTAGGTCCTATGACCTGGGTTACAGACATGAATGGATATTCAAGTCAGAGTATTAAGTCATTTAACCAACTTTTCCCATAAGTGCTAAACATCCTAAAGAAGCCAGATTGGGAAACATCAGAACTTGACCTTTAAACAAGACCATGTCTGTGATAATTCCAAATGAGTTAGCTTCACTATTGCAAGGTGAGCAAAAAATTGGCACGTGACAACAGACAAAGTATAAACTTATAGCATGGTACTGAAGTCTGACTGTGACAGTGATTGTACTGCAGATGATTTTGTGTAATGTAGGCATGCAATTCAGCAACACAAGATACTTGATAATATAATGGCAATTAGGTGTCAGTTATCTATCTGTCTAGTTTATTCGTTCAAATGCTTTACTTTAATTATTGTGAAACTCAATCATGTAAATAAATGACCAGGCACTATGCATGCATGCCATCTTAAATTACACCAGGATAAAACTTGTATTTCACTTGATTTAATATTTCATTATTTCATAACATAAATTTGTTTTTGGTGCAAGGCATTCTGTTATGAATTGACATCCTTTGAGCATGAATGGAAATAGGAGCAAGTAGAATCAGTACTGCAATAACCTTGTTTAAAGAATGAAGAAAACATAGTTATTAAAGTAATAACATTTGTTATTCAAATGTAGGTGGCATCATCAACCATTTTCATTCAGCACAAAACACTTCAAACAAAGAAGGAAAATTGACTGAGGTAGGTACAGCTATTTCAGCTCTGAAATAAGGCATCACAATCAGCACATGTTAGGTGCCTAATTTTAAGCCATCTCGATCTGCATTAAAATTGAAGGATCACTTGTAACTTAGCTGGGAAGGGAATGAACAGAACCTCAAAATGCCCCTTCTGCAATGTCCAAATTCACAAAAAAATCGTAATATCAATATAGATTGTTTTTCTTTGCATGCATAACTGCACAAGTGAACAAATAACAATTAACAATAAAAATGTCTGTTTGAAGTTCCAAAATGTAACACAAGGAGTAAAAATGAAAGGGTTTAAAAGAACTTAGAGAAATGAAAGCCTTAATCCCTCTGACTTTATCATTATGTCATGAAGCCTGGAAAAGTAGATGTGTCGTCCAATATCACATTTTAAATCCACCACAGGTTTACAATTTCACGCAATCCTCAAATTCCCTCTGTTCAATACAAATTGTGAAATTTAAGTGCTATACATATTGGCTTAAATCCTAGGTAGTACAGGTACAATTAAGAAATAGTAGACACATCAAAGGTCACGAGGGCCAGTTTTTTTTTTAAAATTCATCTTGCCATGCCTTCAAGGCCGCCTTAGCTTCCTGTCCGACACACGTCGATTGCCGACAAATATTTAAGGATTCTTGCCTTGCCTATGTATGGCCTTGGACTCTTGCAACTTTTTAAATGTGTTTTAAAAAGAGTTCGATGCAAAATAATGCAACCTAACTTCCTAACTTTCCCAACACACACCAGCGCGGCGGGGAAAAATGAATCCGTACCACCACATTTGCCGCGGTTTTTATTCAAGGATGTGAGTATTGAGCTGAAATTCACACATAAATTAATATGACGTCATAGTAGTTTCGGCTTCCTCATTTATTACCAATGCGTAGTCGAAAGCCGTACACAGCCGTACAATGCGTACAAATAACGTAAACATGAATTAATGAGACTTAAAGGCGAAATATTAATGAACTGAAAATTTGGTGCAGCAGTAGTGTGATTTTTTTTTCCAAATGGTATCTGGCATGCTGCGGGAAAATCGGAAAAAATCATCAGCTACGTTTTGGATAAGGTTCAGACAAAATTGATATTGATTTTGCCTGCCAATTTTCCCCATTTTTCAGGGCTTATACCGTTACAGAGGGGCCCGTCTGCAAGGGAACAGACCCACTGTGCTTTGGTTCTGAAACGCATCGAAAGGTTCTGGATGCGCCCCCACCTAGCTTGACCCTTGGGCCTTGGGGCCCTGGGCCGCTGGGTTGCGCTGGGTGACCCGGGCAGGTGGCCCCCTTTTGGGCGAAATCCTGGGTACGTGCCTGCGGTGAGCCAAAGGAGTCCAGTTTCAGCAATGAGCAATGGGTACGGACTACGGCCCGATCAGTGATCACGACTTGGTTCGAGGTCCGGGCCGAAGACGGTCGGGTCGAGTTATCGCCCGGTCCGAGCCGAAGGTCCGAGTTATTAGCCGTTTTCACGACGGGCTATCCGGCGAATGCACCTGATTTGAACAAATCTGCACCTAATTTCTTTTACGGCAAATATCTTCATTTTATGAATTTATTTCAGTGTTTTAATCGATGATGCTCTCTGATAATATGACAAAGCAGGCATATAAGAAATTGGTGCAACCCTAGCTGATAGCTGCGAAGAGACACACTGAACCTGATTTGACCAAATCTGCACCTCATCCTGTACCAGATGTGCACCAAATGTGTACCAGATGGCCGTCGTGAAAACGGCTATTGTCTGGTTCGAACGGACGGCGGTTTGAAGAAGAAGGGATTATTGCCCAGTTATTAGCAAGTTCCGATTCCGGTCGGACCCAAATAAATGCAGTCTGGTTATACCTATACGGTTCCGGTTTTATTGTTCCCGGCATTATTATTTTGACATCGCAGTGATCGTTCATGGGTAAATAAGTAGGTAGGTCAATTTTTATGCATAAAGTATTAAGTAACGTACATTTATATACATCTTATGGCTTAGTAGGTATTCCTTTCTGAAAGCATGGCTGTCACCAACGAATGAGTGGTCGACTAGAATCTTCATAATCAAACTGCCTGCCTCGTTCAGCCATGCCCGATGCCCATGTAACCAGACGCCGGCAAGTAGGTAGTCTCCGCGGAGCGGGCTGTCCGCCGTCGGTGCCGGTGGGAGCACGTGCACAGACCGACGAACGACGGTGCTATTTCTGCCGAGGAAGATCGCCGAGAGGGGAGGGGGAGGGGCGCGGGCCCGACGGCACCGACGCCCGCGGCTCCGTCGGTCGCTGTGTCGCCCCAGGGCAGCGAGCGAGTGGAGCGCGTGGGGCGCGGAGGAGTGGTGCGAACGCAGGGTGGACGAGGACGTGCTGTGATCGGGCGGAGTGCTCTGAGCGGGGCCGCGCCGAGCGCTATCGGCCGCGGCAGCCATGGCCGAGAACGAGGGCGGCTCCGAGCAGGATGACGTGTCATTCCTCCGAACGGTCAGTTCAGTATAGGGGAGAGTGGGGTAATTTGGCCGGTGGTGTAAATTGGCCGCCCCCACCTGTACGCTGTCTAATAAAAGTGAGTGAAATAGCTCTAGTCTCTATTCATTTGTCATGGGTAGAAATAACTGGAGGACAAATGTCAAAACTTTGCGCCTCGTAGTTTTATTCAAAATTAATAAAACGTTAATTTCATTAGAAAATGGTAACTTTTACTTCTGTTTACAAAGTTGTATAACATGTAGTATTTGGGCTAAAAACGAATTCAGACATTATAGCGCCATTCTTGGGGGTGTTCAGCGGCTCCAAGAGCAATTTTATCTAATTCCGTATAGCCGTGATGACTTTATAGACAAAAATTTTCAGAATGACAACATGGGGTAATTTGGCCGGGACTAGCGGGGCAACTTGGCCGGTGCGCTCATGGTCTATATGCTGGGACGGCCGAGTTTTCATGGTCAATTGTACCATAAATGACATGATTCATGACAAACTTTGACTACTTTGATGCCTTACTTCCGATTGGTCAACTGTAAGAGCATGTGACGTCATCAAAGGTTACCAAACGTTTTTTGCTAATAAATCATTACATGAAAATGGTACAGCCGCACAAATGGTCTCATTCTGTTCAGCTCGCCAAGGCGCATCGAATGATATGCATGATGGCCTTGAAATCACGTGACCTTGAGGTCAAGCGACCATATGCAACGTGACCTGAGGTCAACCTTTGACCTTGACTTCTCAAGGTCAACACATATATCTTTCGATGCGGACTGACGAGAGAATTACGATGGTACTCGAAGTTTTGGCCTAGCTTGATTACTTCAAAAGTTATTCGTAAAAAACTGTCTTCGCATCTAGAGCCGCTAATTTGGCTATTTTGACCCCTGTGACCCCTGGGTCAACCTCCAAAATGCGGCAAATGCGTCATAGGACACACGTCATTGCTGAATCTGAAGCTGAATCGCAATATAACAGAAAATCCCGACCGCAAACTAACACCGGCCAAATTGCCCCACACCCCCGGCCAAATAACCCTGCTAGTGGGGCAGTTTGGCCGCCTTGCAGACCTTTGTAATACGTCACAATTTCAATATAAGTAATTACTCTATCATTTCAAGTTCACTGTCCAGTAAAGTAAAATGAATACGACACCTGCCAGTGTTGAGAAAATGCAGAAATGTGTCGTCAATTTTAAGTTATATCGTTTTCTAAAAAAAGCGGCCAAATTACCCCACTCTCCCCTACCTAATTACCTACTGTTACTGGGCGACGGGCTAAGTGGGATCGACGCCGAGTCAGCCCAGATGGAATCAGTGAAACAGATGAACGTTGACGGGTTGACAAAAGTAGTGGTCGATCGTGTCCCCCGAAGATCACGATTCGGCGGGGCATGATTGATTGTGTTTTTACTTTATAGTATAGCTACACTACCACGCCATCAAATAAGTTCTCGACAGTCCTTGTGTGCCCTGTGTTTCCTTTCATTACTGTTCGGGCCGTGGCGTGGGGACATTATATAAAGTGGAACCATGGGCAGAGAAGACGGCACCTGTGCTATAGCAGGCTCGCCCAGGACCGGGTGTCACAGGTCATCGCGGTCCGGCGGCCGGCGGCGTGGCAACACAGCCCTGCTACCCTTCCCATGCCGGCTGCGCTCCCTCCTAGCCCCTGAGGTCGTGTCGGTTAGGAATCCGTGACATTTGGCAGCGTCCGAAGGAATTGGCACCGTGCCCGGCCCAGCCGGCAGAAATGCGGCAACGGCACATTTCTGCCATTTCGCCGGCCCGTCCGCCCCCGGGCGATCCTTAGAATCGCCACTGACCTTGACCTGACCGGGCTTTTGTGCAATGCACTTTAGTTAATATGAAAACATGATGTCTCATACATATTATATTTCTTGCCGATTGAACCAATTATAAAACATTGGATTGGAAATAAACGTTCATATTTCACATACCTATCCTATCCCTATTCTTCTCACAAATGTGGTCTTGCATCAATATACCCTGGTCTTGCATTGCAATGCATGCTCCGTGGAATTTCGCATGCCTTCAGATATCTCACGAGTATTTCACATGCTGGTACGTCGACATCTTACTTCCACGTGGGAGTCGTGCATTGAAACCTTATTACGATGTATATACCTACGATTTAGATAAGTGCACTGCTAATGTTGCAGTATTTTAGTTATCATTTTGTTTGCTTATTCGGCGCCATTAGTTCAAAATAACTTTTTGTAAAAGGCACGCGATTCATTCAAATGAATGAGTGCATGAACGTCGTAATGAGTGAATGCTGTAAATACCTAGTTCAAACAAAATAATTAATAATTCTTCTTCGTTGACCACATTTTAATTCAAGGGGTTGCGCTATGCCATGGTAATTGCAGTGGCGAAATGCTGGAACTAAACAGGAAATGTCGACTTCGACCGACATCCGTTCCAGTTGCGTATATTCGGATGCAGTATGAGTAGAGCATGGGTCCCGAAAAATTCTTCAGAAACTAGAGAAATTCTCGCGGCCACCGGCATTTAGGCGATCTGCTCGTGCTTTTGTCACTGGAGCGCTTCTTTCACGGAGATTGCGCCGGCCGCCTGCAACGGACGAAAAATACACGGCTTTGCAATCCGGCTGATCGTGGGAAAATACAGCCGGAGGTCTCGGCTCTATGCAGGTATACCACCGGGAGAGATGTATTTATTGTATAGTATATACCACTGGCTCGATGTATAGCCTGCAAGTTGGCTTTGGTGCAAACATGTCAAACAGGGTATAGGGCGGATCGATGTAAGCACTAAGCAAATCAGACGTTCAATTGACAATTTCCGATTCTTATTCGATAATTACGACCAATTATATTTTATTTTGGGAAGTGTTATTGGGACCGTAGCAATAAAATCTCATTTTCCCCTGTCTCCTTACGTATCTCCCAAACCCCTTGCTCACGATCATCTTTCCTCTCTTTAGGTATCAGTCTCCTTCCCGTCCTCCCCGGGTCTCTGACAAGTAATATCCATATCTCTAAGTCTTTTCCTTCATCTGATCCTCCTTTCTCTCACCACCCTTCTCTCTCTCTCTCTCTCACCACCCTTCTCTCTCTCTCTCTCTCTTCTCTCTCTCTCTCTCTCTCTCTCTCTCTCTCTCTCTCTCTCTCTCTCTCTCTCTCTCTCTCTCTCTCTCTCTCTCTCTCTCTCTCTCTCTCTCGTCCGTCTGTCCATCTCTTTGTCCGTCTCTCCGTCCGTTCGCCCGCCCTTCCGTCTCTCAGTCCGTCCGTCCGTCCGTCCGCCCTTCCGTCTCTCAGTCCGTCCATCCGTCCGTCCATCAGTCACTCTCTCCGTCCGTCCGTCATCAGTCTCTTCGTCCGTCCATCCGTCTCTCCGTCCGTCCGTCCGTCTCTCCGGAGGTGCAACTTTTCCCAAATAGTTCTTGGAACGTCACACAGTATATGGAACCCACATATTACATAGAGGTGCAACTTTTTCAGGTCCCACGATCACCACGTCCAGCGTTCTAACAGGTCCCAATTTTCCTGCCTTTGGGTCATTGACCTGACCTGGAAGGTCAACCGATGACCTAGGACCTTAAAATTGGGTATCATCGGCTTCCTCTCGTCACGGGCAACACGCTGGTTTTTTTCCGCGAAGCTCTAGCTTGATCAGGAGCGAAACGGCAAGGGGTTATACCTTATACGTTCGCGGCTGGAAAAAAAACACCTATACGGGCGAGGGTCAAGTTGAAAGTATTAATTTGGTTCAAAACGATGATGTAGATAAGTTAGTTATTTAAATCTAAATATCCTATGACGAGAGCGATGGACATTTTTGGTATGCAGTGTTATCCATTGAAAACAGGTCAAAGCTATTGAGTTTTTAATTTAGTGGTCGCCGCTTACTAATCATGCGGCATACACGCCGCACATAACCGCCAATGCCGCAACGCAGCTTAAATTTCGAAGTAAGCATTTAGTCTCACCCGCATTCATATGGTACCCGTCGTGTGTGTCCGAGAATTTCTCTAGTTTCTGAGGAATTTTTCGGGACCCATGCTCTGCTCATACTGCATCCGAATATACGCGTTCCAGTTCAAGTTGGGGCCGGCGTCCGGCTAAGAAGAATTTCGTAAATTACGAGTATGATGCATTTTCTGTTTTATACAGTAATGCTTTATTATCCGTGTCCCCCGCATCACCTATAAAGACGGCTTTCTAGTCGATAAAACTTGAACTCCTATCACAGCGAGAGCGACCCAACTCACGATCGTGTGCTCATAGTACCCTCACATTTTCACTTGTGTCCTTGTGTCGTTTACAGGAGGATATGGTGTGCCTCTCGTGTAACGCCACGGGAGAGCGCGTCTGCCTGGCCGCCGAGGGGTTCGGCAACCGCACCTGCTTCCTGGAGGGTATCGCAGACCGGGTGAGTGGCCGATGCCGTGCAGCTGCGCTCGTTTATCCGTCACCACCGGGGGGGGGGGGGGGGGGGGGGCGTCGTAATGAATGAATGCTGCAAGTTGTAGAAAATACGGTAGGACGTTTTTCGACTCTAGTAACGATAAATGACTGGAAAACGAAAAACGTTCTTGCATTAACATTGCAATTCAGATGTGCTTTGGGTAGATGTTTGGCTGGACTGTTTCATTTCACCATGAGTCCCCCGTCCCGTGTAACGGGGGCAGCTCTTTTGTGCAGTTTCCCCAAGATGTGCCATGCCAGCCGTACTCTTCGTGACGTCACGCGGGGTTCGTTTCAGAACAAGCCGCCGGATCTGGCCGCCTGTGTGTTCGTCATTGAGCAGGCGCTGTCAGTGCGCGCTCTTCAGGAGTTGGTGACGGCCGCCGCCTCTGACACGGTCAGTCCGCCGCCGCCGCCGCCGCCCCCACCCCTGCCGCTGCGCCCAGCAGCTGCCCTGTGACGGCCGAATGACACTACACATACTCATAGCACACAGCAACTGTAGACACGCGTTTGCTTGCTTACTACTTACACGCACACACACATTTGCAGAGTAGATCCACATTTCGACTTTTGCTCTGAACATACGCACACAATTGTGCTACATTCGAACTAACCGTTCCTACTTACTTAGTCGTCATGATAAACATAAAGTTTCTGCTAGTGAATCTAACCATGTGAGTTGAAACAGTGACCGGTAACGTGTATCATTTTCTAGAATATCGAAGGGATCTTTTTCTTATCCGACAGGCCTTATTCAATTCAAAACGTTCTTATTCGACATTTCGCGTCTGCAGCGATACGGTCTCAAGATCACACATGGCTGAAAACCGGACCAACCGCATCTCCTGCCGTTCATGGTAGAAAAAAAGAAAAAAAAGAAGAAAAAACATTTTCTTGCTTATGAATCCGAGCAGGTTTTACACAGCCGCTCTTCTAGTATGTACCTACCTTGTGATTATATTCTGTGTAGCTGATTTTGCATGTTTGACCGTTTTCCAACATTACAAGTGCTTTAAAAACATTTCATTCACGTTTAAAGGGACCCTCCCACCTTAACATTAGATTTGAGTTGAGATAGCCAAAATGGGGTCCCTGGCTCACAATTACCGGTTTCGGCACTCACAACATCGAGAAATGCCTTAAATCGGAAATATTGAATTTCAAAATTGCAGCATTTTGATTCAGAGGGGCTAATGCTTAGGAATACCCCTCTGAATGTGTGACGTCAGCGCAGATATCTAACGATTTTTAAATGTTTGACTAAAACGTTTTGTAGCACGCGGTGGTATATGCTATTTGCGCGCAACATCTGCCGCAAACGCCGCGCTTCTAAAATAAAGTCGCTAGAAACAGCGGAGATGCCAAAAAAGTAAACAAAAGTAAAAGTCTAATATCTTGAAAACCGGTGAATATTTTTCGGTGAAATTTGGTAGATATTCGTTTTCGTTCTTTCTGAACCGAGCGACATCACTTTCATGCCAATTCATAAACTTTTTTGAAGGTGGGAGGGTCCCTTTAAACATCTTAGACGCTGGAGCTGCTATTTTGATAATTAAAGCGCGTTACTTTGATGCTTTAACTATAATTTTCTGAGAGCTTTCATCCAAGTGCCTGCTGCATCTACATAAAACAGTATACACTAGATACGACATATTACACACCTTAGTGACCATAGTTATGGTTTAGCACGGTCACAGTACTGAGTCTCTCCGTTGTCATAAAAAGAAACACACTGCCACGTTGATTGCTTTCGCATCTACATAGCTGATCGACAGTGATGCCGCTGCTCTTCGTTTTACGCCTGTGTTTCTATAACTTGCAGGAGAACGGCTCTGTAGTAAGTACTGGCTTCGCGGCTGTCGCCACAGAGGTACCTTACACACAAACATACAGACTGTCCCGCCGGCCGGCGTCGGTCGGCGGGAGCTCCCCCTCCCTCCGCGGCATGACCCCAGTCGAGCCGACCCGACCCGACTCGACCCCAACCCAGCTGTTCGTAGCCGCCGATGGGCGGAACCATACACCCTCAGCGGTGTTCAGGTGCGATGTTTTGGAAGACTGGTGATGACATGATGTGTATGCGTTCATCAACATCCATCAGCTTCCGTAAACATCCCATCTATGGACACTGTTGTTATTGTGCGCGTGTGTTCGCTTGTTCACGTTTGTGTGTAGCTCAACTGGTGTCTCGCGTGCAATTTGCTGATTAACCAAAGTATTTGTACTTCCCTGACTGCCGGTTTGTTATACAATTGTATCATTTAAATCACCTAGCTACTTCACGTAATTACCATTGAATAATTATTTGCTTTTTGACTTTAAGTGATGCGACAATTCCAAGCTAAAGACGTTTACAGTGGACGTTAGTTGGTGTTACAGTTCGTAGACGCTTTGCAGACGACGGTATACCCTATACACACGCTCGACATTTGATTTCAAACGTTAGCACTTGTTTATACGCTAGGAATGATGTTAAGATTGACCTTAACGATGCTTAATGTGGTGCCAAACTCCAAACAACAACAAATAGCATCTGGCAAGATGTTAGCTACATAAATATCTAGCTTGATTTAATCGTTTACACGCGTTAAATATTTATTGCTGCAATCTGCGCAAGTGTATCTTAAAATTGTTGAGTACATGTATTTAGTACTTATTCATTATTGTCAGGTTTTCATGTCAAATGAGTGAAATCCTTTGAGCAAAGCTCGCGTTGATCCTTATCCATTCGTGATGCAAGTTTTGCTGACATGCATATCGGTTGAAATGCGGAGGTGTTTTTTCTGGGTTTTTATATTGAACTTTTACGTATGCAACCACGAATAAAGAACTTGTAAAAAATACAACGGATCGTCGGATATTATAACGTTAACCAACTTGCAAAAAATATCATTGACGAATTCTAAAAGCTTGCGACTGATGCCGAAATGGAATATGATGGTTACAAGTGCAGTTTCGAAACTGTCGACTATGAAGTTGCGGTTCCACGTTTGTTGATGTTGACATGACCCATGCACCATTTGAGACTTACCAGTTGCCAATGGCTGATGCTACCCCTGACTTATTTCTTCTGAAGTTCACCTGTAAATGGTAGCTGCCTAGGGAATGATGTCCTCGAATGTTACTGCTTTCGTGCCCCTGTCAAGAAAGGCTGCTTTACCCGTCCCTTGGCCAGCATGGGTCTAGTGCTTCGCAAAATTACCAATGCCAGCCAAGCCTATGCATTTTGCACCAACCGCTTTCTGTTATGTATGCTATTCAATCGATTATGCAACACCGCCTGGTTTGTTTGCTTGCTCCCCACATCCCCTTTATGTTGCGTACCGGTCTCCCTGCCACTCCCGGACCGCCCTCTCTCCCTCTCCCCGCCTCTCTCCGTCCATCTGTCGCTCTGTCTTCGCTCGGCTGCCGCCTCTGCCGCTGTCGCTGCCGCCTCTCCGCGCTGGTGTAGCGGGCCCACATACCAGGTACGGTGTGGTATAGGTAAAGGTAGTGGTGTTTTTGCTCGTGAGTCGCTTGTCTTTTTGTCTGTGAATTTGTATAGTACATGTTGGTTCCAATGTGTGTGCGTCTGCATACCATACGCGTGTGTGTAATGTGTATGCGAATGTTTGTGCTTGTAAATGTGGGTACGCGTGTCCGTGTTAGCGTGCGACTGTTCGTTGACTTAATCCGTTACTTAATCCACTGCGAGAGCTTCTGGCAATAAACGCATGGCAATACAATAACATACCGGGCGGCGGAACGGGGGGGGGGGGGCACTGAGACCGGGTGCCCCCCTTTGATTTTGGCATTTTAACATTAGCTCTATTCTATGGGCGTCGCATGTAAAGAAAGGGACCAAAAGTCAGCAGTGCTCCCCCTTAATTGAAGGTGTTCCGCCGCCACTGATAATATGATATGGACATGCACTGGAAAGAGTTGAGTTTTTATTCTTTCTAAGACAAGCATTGTAACTAATTATAATATTTGTGACATTCATGATTCAGCTAAGAAATTGTAACAACGGATTATGTTCCCTCGCATTGCCGTCGTTCTCATCGCCTTCATGGTTAAATTTTCGTCACTAGGTGTCACTAACGGCAACGCCTGAATCATGCTGTGCCGCAAAGCACTGCAGCCATCCGTACTTATATTCTGGCCGCTAGGTGTCGCTAGTGGTAACGCCTGAATCATGCTGTGCCGCAAAGCACCGTAGCCGCCCGTGCTTACATTCTTGTCACTAGATGTCGCTAGTGGCTACGCCTGAATCATGCTGTGCCGCAAAGCGCCGCAGCCGCCCGTGCTTATATTCTTGTCACTAGGTGTCGCTATCGTTACGCCTGAATCATGCTGTGCCGCAAAGCACCGTAGCCGTCTGGTCGCGGCGCTCCGGCCCGCATTTAGCGCATTCGTTCGGCGTTACCGTCGAATACGAAATTGTCCTTCATGTTGGACCGTGACTTGCTCTGAACTACTTCGCTACTTCATTGATTTTCACGCATTATTTCCTGAAGTAATACGCGCGTTACAAACCAACACCTGCTTCGCTGAAGCTCCGTGGAAACACATTGGTGCAATTGCTGATGTAATTTAATGAAGCTTCTGCTTATGCCCAGCTAGGGGACCTTTGCATTTCATTGACAGTCAGCCAACTTTTATCACCTTGAACTGATGACCAAGCCAAAATCATACAAATATTTTTTTTTTCCAGATCTCCTTCTGCAGGATGCATTTCCACTGTTGCAAGGTCTTCGTATTGCTCAGCGTCTCTGTACATCTGTGCGGTTATGTGTTGTGTATTGTGTGCTGACAGCTGACATTTCATTGCATTTGTTGTTATTATGCTTGCCTCTCAGTCGGAGCATAGAAAGTAAGAAGCTGACGACGAGATCTGACCACATCTCCCGTGTTACAGGGAAAGGGCACTGGCTCTGGTCACAGGACTCTGCTCTACGGCAATGCCGTCCTCCTTCGTCATCAGAACAGCGACATGGTGAGTCAGCCGGACCGTGATGACGTCACAGTGACGTGGTCCTCGGTCCGGGCGGAGGAGTGATGGCCCGCTGACGTGTTCAGAGTCTTCAGTGACGTGGCGTCAGTCACAGTTCACAGTGATGACTCCGACAGCTGAGAGGTGATGGCTGCGTTAGAGAGTAGATACGTGGTTCAGAGCCGGTCATGGGGTCTTATGTGAGACCCCGGCAGAGGCTTTGCCGGTCCGGGTAGCCTCGGGCTGGCGCAGCGGACCGAGCGGTCGGTGGGCAGCAGGCCAACTATGCAGGCCGGCCAACTGGCCCTGAGGCGCCCCGCCGCCGCTCTCTCGTCTCTCGTCTAAAATGTCCCGGAGCTGGCCGCGGGGACTCTGTTCTTACACGACGGGTCAGCTGTTGAGCTAATGCGCCCGTCCAGCGACGCCTCGTAGTACTTACAGCGAAGGCGAACATTCATGTGGAAGCAAGCCCTGGTAACCTTCTTGGCCATTCGATGCGTGTATATTTTTATAACTTCCAAAGCTTGCTGTAGATAGGCTTGTGCTGACACATAAGAAGCTACATCAAACATGATAGGAAACCTGGTTTTAGACAACCCTTAACCCTTATATTAAAATACAAGTGCACATGACCAATTATTTCGTGAACATTACAAGGAACTTAATTTCTGGTTCGCTGCCTAGAAAAGGTAGTAAAAAAAGATTCAAAGCCTAGTTACGAAACAAAATTAGCCGACATTAGTCCAAAATTTTCTCGGTTTTTGCTTGTTTCAATTCGCAATGACCTTTTGCTTTTTCGCTTCATTTGACTTGTGACTTTATCGCTTCATTATGTGCGATGTTATTTACTCTTGCCTTGCGGAAATATTTGTCATTTATTTATTTATTTATTTATTTATTTATTTATTTATTTACATCGTGTGCTCGTCCCTGAAATCATGGCCTAGGCCATAGGGCTATCCTTGAGCACGAGTCAGAACACATTGAAAAACCAAGGTAAAAACATTCACGCATAAGCATTCACATAACATTCTCACATATAGAATAAGAGTATTTAGGTCGATTCCGATGAAAGCATGATAAGATCAGGACACGTTCGATCTTCCTATGTAATAATGAATGGCCCAAGACGGCTACCCAAATTTCGTCCATCTTGTAAAAGGTGGAATTTTGAAATCAGTGCGATGCTAGGAGCATTTTACGCAAATCTTTTTATGTTATATAATCATTTTTTACAACCATATGTATAATAAATTTCCAGACTCGACTGAGGAAGATTATGTTTTCAGTTTGTCACCCTTGACAGGTGTGTCATGAGGCGTTCACGTGGCAGGTCTCATAACGAAGAAGAACCAAACGGTAGTTTTCCTACCCGCTTGCATAAATAGTTTGCATGAAATTAAAAGCAATTTCGCAAAAAATCTTAAACGGTGTTTGTTAATGCATATGCCGTTGATGTTGGACCATTGGTCACAACAGAGACCTGTCCCAGAAGTGATAACCGCCTGACCTCGCCCCTCTGGCCCCCGTTTGGCGGCCGGCCGGCGTCCTGTTGCTCAGTGTGCGGGTCGCCGCCGGGCCGGCCGTCCGCCGCTGTCTCTGCCGACGGCGCCAGTGTCTGCTGTCGTTGGCACCGCTCCAGCCCACCGCTCGTCACCTGGCTCCGGCCACCCTGTCCCCCTCCCCTACCCCCTCCCCTGGGGGGGGGGGGGACGAGGACAGACCCAGGGGCGACCGGCCGACCCAGACGGAAAGGACCAGAGCGAGATCTGGGCGGGCCCTGGCCGGCCAGCCGACGGCGGATCGTATTCCATGTCTCTTGCAGCTGAGCTCGCGGTTTCGAATGACACGCTGTGCCTCTGGATGAGGAAAGTCGTGTAGTGGGTGTCATATTATTGAGACGTTAACTGAGAGGTGACGCCGCGCTCACTCGCACTCAGCATACACACTCACACAGCACCAATACGATGTGCCTATCGATGCGTTTAGACGAAGCAAGAAAGAGCATTACTTTACTTTCGTGGCAAATGTTCGTTGCTCAGTGTCATGTAATGATCATTCAGTGAAGTCCCATTTCAGTCAATTTTCGGGTCTGTCTGATAGGAATTTAGTTTTACTTATGATAGGCGTGAAGATATATGTATTTTCTTTCTCCTGCAGTATCTGGCGTGTTTGTCCACCAGCTCATCCAAGGACAAGCTGGCATTCGATGTCGGTCTGCAGGAGCACTGCCAAGGTTTGTAGAACACTGATCGGTTAGCGAAGGAATTGTGGGAGATGGCAGGGCACGGGCCATCTGCAAGGTGATTGAGCAAAGACATTTGTTACGGAAGGGATGGGGCGAGGTAGGGTGTGGATCGCTGATTTTAATTGTTGATAGACGACTGTTGAACAAATTGGATTAGGTTTCTGATCCGTTTCTGATTGTAAATATGTCATTTCCGTACCGCGAATAACTAAAGCCGCCGTTTGCTCCTTGCAGGCGAGGCTTGCTGGTGGACGATCCACCCTGCCTCTAAGCAGCGCTCAGAGGGCGAGAAGGTCCGAGTGGGAGACGATCTGATTCTGGTCTCCGTGGCCACCGAACGCTACCTGGTGAGTGAAGAGCGACGGATGTGCGGTCCGGCACGAGTATTGGTGGAGAGGGATGAGCCTGAGTGAGCCACTAGTCATATGGGCACAACGCCAGCCGGATGATTGGCTGTCATTCGACTCTGGATTACAGTGGTAGTTGCCATGGGCCTTCTCAATAGCTACTCTCTTTTGTTTCTTTTTTATCTCGATAGATAAAAATTTACGAGCTGTTAATGACTTTTTCGGTATTGCCTTATTCTTAATTCATAACTATGTAATCCAATCGTGTTTGTTTTTCAGCAAGCGACGTTGGAGAACGAGGTGCCGATCGTGAACGCCTCGTTCCACGTGACCCACTGGTCCGTATCTCCGTTCGGCACTGGTCTCAGCAGAGTCAAATATGTCGGTACGTGGCACGATTCTGAGGGAAGAAATGCTAAAATGAGCTTATGTTGAATCATAATGTGTTGCAAAATGATCAGTGATCACTGCTCATAGTTATGAACAAATGTTTCACCGAGCCGAATGATCATTTCAGTCACCGTGCCCAGCGTGGGTGTTTGTTATAGGTAGGAACTCTGACATGTAAATAACCAACACACGTCGTCCGTTGTTTGCAGGCTACCTATTTGGCGGCGAGGTGCTGCGGTTCTTCCACGGCGGAGACGAGTGTCTGACGATTCCCTCCAACTGGTCCGAGGAGGACTCACAAAAGTAAGGCGCGGCGCCGGGGTATCGTAAACTTTCCCAACTGCGCTCCAGGCGATGACGCATTAGATGGGAAGGGACTGAGCTTAGCACAGTATGACCTGGGTTAGTTTGTTGATGCAACGCTGGGAATGGCCGTTAGACAGGGGATAATGTGGTTGTTCTGGACGGCGAACGCTGAAGTGAAATGCTACTTGAAGGCGCCAATCGATACTTATTTTAGAGGAAAGCAAGCATCGGTGAACAAATTATCGCTCATACTGCCCTGTGCTGCTGTGAAATATCCACCTTGATGTCTTCACTGCTCAAACCTGATATGACTTAACCTGTCCTACCGTTTGTCTGCCCTACCCTCCGCCATGTCATCTTCTACGCCCTGCCCTTTTCTGTACTGTCTCGTACCCTCTCGTACCTTGTCCTGTACGTACCTTCTCTAAACTTCCCTGTCCTGATCTGCCCTACCCTTCGACCTGCAGGTCGAGCTGAGCAATAGCAGCTCACGAGCTGCTATTGCCTCTGCCATGGCCTGCCTTACCTTGCCCTGTTCTGGCCCTCTTTAATGTCTCCCTCCCACTGACCTACCCCATATCTCCCCGCCAGTATCGCTCAAATCTGATCTGCGCTCTACCTGTCCTACCCTCTACCGGCAGTCTACCCTGCCCTGTCGTGCCCTCGGCTACGCCCTGTTCCCAGTCCCTCTCCTTTCCTGGTCTGCTCTCGTCTCTACCTTGTCTTCTCCTGCTTTAACTGCCCTTTTCTGGCCTTACGCCGCACTCCGCTGACCTACCCCGTCTCCCCGTCAGTATCGTGGTGTACGAGGGCGGCAGCGTGGTGAGTCAGGCACGCTCCCTATGGCGGCTGGAGCTGGCCCGCACCAAGTGGTCGGGAGGCTACATCAACTGGTTCCACCCCATGAGGATCCGGCACATAACAACAGGAAGATATCTGGGCATCAACGAGCACAACGAAATCACGCTCATACACCGGTCAGTGCGCACTGGAAGAGGGGAGTTCTGCCTGCTGTCATTACCGCACTGATCCCGTGGTGTCTCATGTTTACATGGCAAGGTATTGCGCTAATGTGTTAATGGCGCGAATGGTAACAGTTGCGCAACGTATTGCTTCATATTCGTGTATTGCTTCGCGGGTTTTCCTAAGTGGCAGCGTATTACGCGGTGTTCAGAAGTCATTTTAATTTTCTAATTTTTTATATTTTATGTCATCAACACGACATAGTCTTATTTCCCTTTGTTTATTCAATGCATGGCTCAGTTCAGCCTACACAGATGTCTAAGAGCTCGACTGGTTTGTCTGAACTCATGCTCACGTCTGAACTTGCTCGCCTATTCTCATGCTTTGATCGCTGTATGACCTTGTTCACGTCCCTGTCCTTTCCGCCGCGGTGTAGGTCGGACTCTACCGTGGCGTCCACCACGTTCTACCTCCGCGAGGAGAAGGACGACAACAAGGTGATGCTGGAGGACAAGGACCTGGAGGTGATCGGCACGCCGCTCATCAAATACGGCGACTCGACCGTCATCGTGCAGCACATCGAGTCCGGACTCTGGCTCTCATACAAGGTCAGTCGGGGAACTAATGCGGTAGTGTGTTGTGCGGCGGTGGTAATTTTGAAGTATGATTTGCTTTTTTCTCGGTTTTTCGTTTTTATCGTTCATGTTTCAGTGTTTCTGTGTTCGTAAGCTTATCTAATATTAATTTAAGTTCTCGGCTTTGTGAGGGTGCAATCAACTTAAATTGAATCAAGACAAGCCGTTTGCAACCGTCCTTGTTCAGGTTTGACATAAACATTACATCTGTTTTCATATGCCAACGATAGCTGCTTTGTCTTTGAACAGTCCTGCGTTGTCCTTTTGACAGGCCTTCGAGACGAAGAAGAAGGGCGTGGGAAAGGTTGAGGTAAAGCAGGCAATCCTGCACGAGGAGGGAAAAATGGACGACGGCCTCGAGTTCTCCCGCAGCCAGGACGAGGAGTCGCGCACGGCACGAGTCATCCGGAAATGCAGCTCGCTGTTCACAAAGTTTACAAAGTAAGAAAGATGTGGCTGGTTTGCGGAATGTGCAATCGCCCCCCCCCAAATAATCCCCGGTTTTTGTGTATGTATTTACTTCCATGCTTGGCCAATTTGCATTTTGTTTGCCATCTATCGTTTTCTGTTATTATTTAGTGGGTACTGCTCTGTATGTGTCCAATTACTTACATGAAATGGGACTTCGTTTCGGCGTCCGACACAGCCCCTTGAGGCGTCTGACATCGCTCTTTCCAGCATCTCATGGTCTGACATCACGTCTCTTCGTATAATTTCGCCCCTCCCCTCTTTTAATGCGATCTCTCTTGGCTTATAGCACGAATTCTTCACGACGTCTGACACTCCCCCCTTCTGACACTGACAGGCAGCTGGACCAGATCCGCACCTCCCGGCGACACTCGGTGATGCTGAGCTCGATGAACCTCAAGGAGATCGTCATGTGCCTCGAGGATCTCATCAACTACTTCGCTCAGCCGGACGCAGAAATGGGTCAGTTTGCAGTTCGGGCAGCTTTGGGGAAGGGGAGAGAGGGCGTTATCGTTCTCACGCTCACTGGTTCGTCCCTGCTATAGGCTGCAGTGACTTTAGCTTAAAGGTAAAGGTAACCTGAGCACTGAGTAGGCTGAAAGTGCCACGGAAATAATGCTCAATTTATAAATACCAATAAGGATCCGTGATTGTTGCGGCTAGATTCACTAGCTTTACATAGTTCACTGGAGAGTCGGTCATAATCACGGTCTGCATTTTGCTGCGACACAACGGATAGCTTCACTGTCTTTTATTGGCGCCAACAAAACACAACACTAAGACAGAAACAAAAGTAAAAACATAGTAACCGCCCTTGAGGTAAGTCCATCCGTGAAAAACATGGTCATTTTCCGCCTAATCAACTTCGAGCCATCCTCTAAGTCATGTCGGAATTCAAAGCCGCCGATCAGTTGACCTGGTGACCTTTTCTTGGACTCCGGTGACTCCTCGTTGACCTGGCGTTCCGGCGTTGACACGGGACGGCATCGGGCAGACGTTTACGGCAGGGCGTAGCCGTGAGCGACGTTCTCAGCGACGTAGCCGTGCGCGACGTTGTCTGCGACGTAGCCGTGCGCCACGTTATCAGCCGTGGCGTAGGAAACTGCTACGTTCTCGTCGACCGGAGCCGGGTCGGGAGCAGCCCAGGTGACCGCCAGCACGGCGACCAGGACAGCCAGCAGCAGCAGGGCGGCGCGGAACATGGCTGTTGGAGAGAGAAGTGCAAATTAGCGACAGTGAAATATATGGGTCGAACGAGAGCTAGCGAGGGTAGATTCTCTCTAAAAATGCTTGTAAGGCTTATAAGAAACATACAGAGATTGAAGATAGCCCTCAGTTTGGGAACACGCTGGTTGCCTGACTTGAATTTTCTTTACCTACGTGGAACCCAAAATCACGGGTTGAATGAATGACGAATAACAGGTACCCGTCGGGTGACAAAAACAGGCCGGCCCCGGTACCCGTCAGGTACCGGTCGGTCGGCGCCCAACCGGCAAATATGCGTGATGCTACTTATCTGCATCGGTCTCTGAGCCTGATGGGCCTTCCTTGCCTGCGCTGGTTACCCGTCTGCCGCTGATCTTACCTGAGTTGTATGTAGAGCGAACTTCCACGACTGAGATCACAGGAGGACAGAGGCGCTATGTCCCTCCGTGCGCCACCGGGCGGTTTTATACCGATCACCCTCCCCTGTTCGGAGACGCAGGACTGGCCCAGGGGGCCGAGGTAAACAAACTTTCCGTAGCGCGTCGCTGGGAAACTCCGACCCGGGCGAAGGGTCCCTTAGACGCATTCCTGAGTGTTGTGCTCGCTTCGCCATGTGGTTGGGTGGACTATTGTGTAACTGGGGTGCAGAACCGGACTGCGCCGGTTCAAAGGGGTTGTGAGCCGCGCGAGGGAGGCTGACACTTGACAGCGACCTGATGCTGGCACGGCGAACGCAAAATGTGCGCAGCCTGTCTTGTGATAAGCGTAACGAAGGACTGTAACCCCAATGGATTTCCAGCTCAATGCGATAAATGCCTCTAATGAATGCTAATGAATTCTGGAAGCACTCTGCAAGTTACGTGGTAAGACGTTTAATTTAATTTTGGGTTCAGATGTGTTTTTTACATTTTGTTTAGCCTCTCTGCGAAAATGCACGTGCCGAGCACCTTTTAGATTGAACAAAGCATCCAATACTCCGGGCTGCCGGGTAATTAATCCCTCTAAATACTAGCTGAAAACATTGGATGAATTATTTATATTTTAGTAGCAAGTATTATATATTTGAAATGCAGTTTGAAAATCTATTGGCGATAGCAAAATACGATACGGTGCCAATCTCGATATAACATTTTTCTTTCGTCGTCAATTTACCTGATTGAGCTCGACTCTCTCTCTCTCTCTCTCTCTCTCTCTCTCTCTCTCTCTCTCTCTCTCTCTCTCTCTCTCTCTCTCTCTCTCTCTCTCTCTCTCTCTCTCTCCATTTTCCCTTCCTCTCTCCACCCTGCAGAGCACGAGGAGCGCCAGATTAAGCTGCGCGCGCTGAGGAACCGCCAGGACCTGTGTCAGGAGGAAGGCATCCTCAACCTCATCCTGGACGCCATCGACAAGATCACGGTCATCACCAGCGAGGGCTACCTGGTGTCTCTGGCTGGCGAGGAATCTGGGCAGATGTGGGACATCATCAGCAACTACCTCTACCAGCTACTCGGTAAGCTAGCTTGCGCGCACCGATAGCGCTGCATTTCCCATGATGTGACAGTGCGCCGTGCGCGCTCCCGAACTCTGGAGAAACACCGTTGTGTCGTAACGTGTGCCATGATACCTATTTGCGTATTCGCATTCACGCGCAATGATAGCCGCAGGCTGTTTGAAATAGACAAACACTATTCGTTAGAGTTGTGTTTTTCCATTGAATATCAACGTAAGCGCTTGCTGATGCGTAGCTAACATAACTAAGAGTCAAGGGTTGTGCGGTGGCTCTATATAACCAAACTGCTAGCAACAAGTGACGTCACGTCTTCCTGCCACGTTTAATGTCTGGGTAAGCCATTTAATGTTTGCTTTCCACAATATACCGTAACTAACGATGTGGTTGCTCTTTCTAGCGGCGATGATCAAGGGCAACCACAACAACTGCGCCCAGTTCGCCAACTCGATGCGCCTCAACTGGCTGTTCTCTCGACTGGGCTCTCAGGCCGGCGGAGAGGGCATGCTTGACGTACTGCACTGTGTGCTGATCGACTCGCCCGAGGCGCTGAACGTGATGAAGGTAATGTCAGACGACTGGACGAAGCGGTGAGGGGGGGGGGGAGGGGGTGACAGTGCTCGTGAGACATAATTTACTGTTTGCCGTGCGGGTATGAAACCGTAACAGCTGGGTTGAGTTCGATAATCATTTCGTATCGGTACTGATTACGTAGCGTATCATTTCTTATCGTATCGGTACTGCTGTTTTACGGACCCTGAAAGTGAACAGCCCCAATCGTCCATCCGAAGTTTCTTCCCTTCCTGGTACGGGAAAATAAATACTGCTCTTGTACGAATGCCAACCGAAGTAAACATTTACTCAGCCCGACATGCCTCTCGTCTCAGTCCCACCGACCCCTCACGCTAACCCCTCTCCCTCCCCCTGCAGGAGGAACACATCAAGGTGATCATCTCTATCCTTGAGAAGCACGGTCGCGATCCCAAGGTGCTGGACGTGCTCCGTTCACTGTGTGTTGGTAACGGGGTGGCCGTGCGCAGCTCGCAGAACAACATCTGTGACTACTTGCTGCCGGGCAAGTCGCTGCTGCTCCAGACCGCGCTGGTCGACCACGTCTCCAGGTGAGGCAGACGGGACGGGTTGTGACAGGTTGTGATGACTTGTGACGAATAGGGACGGAGTAGTGACATGAATGCTTCTGATCGTGACGATCACATTGAGCCTGAGCACCCGAGTCGCAACAAGTTGTGCCGAGTCGTGGTGCTGTGAGACGGATTTGGAAAGAGCCAGCGTGACAATATTCCATCACAGACCGACACTGCGAGAAAAAGGATGAGAATGGGAGGATAAATTAAAAGTCCTGAGATAAAAAAATGCGATTGCTGATATTATAGGCGATCCTTAATTACTGACTGCTGGCTCAAAGTCAATTGAATATGCGATTCTTCCTAATTCCTTGATGTATTTACTTGACTGGCCGTTACCGTGTGTTTGTGTGAAATGCGTCATTGGTTCTTTTTTTTCAGTGTTCACCCCAACATTTACGTGGGCAAGGTCCAGGGGTCTTCCATGTACCTTAAGTGGTATTACGAAGTGACCGTGGATCACATTGAACAGGTAAGAATATGACCTCGAACGCATCACATGGCGCTTGCGACGCTTATCCAGATATGACAGCTTCTTTTACCGAAATCAATGACTTGGAGACTGACTTGCATGCTTGGAAGCTTACCGAGGTCGAGATTTAATCGATTATGTGCGTTCGATCAACTGTTAAACTGGTCTTGTCAGGGCTCACATGTCTATTTGTATCTGAGTAAATACAACATTACATTATATAACCTTTTGTGTGTGCACCCCGACCTGACCCTTTCTGACCTGACCCGCCGTGCCGTTCCTCCAGGCGAGCCACATGCCTCCACACCTGCGGATGGGCTGGGCCAACACGATGGGCTACATTCCCTACCCCGGCGGAGGGGAGAAGTGGGGCGGCAACGGCGTGGGCGACGACCTCTTCTCGTTCGGCTTTGACGGCGCCCACCTCTGGACAGGTGCGGTGGCGGCGGTGCCGGTGACCAGCTAGAGACAAACCAGCGAATGAAGGCTGTTGCGTTAGTGCTGTCTGCGCTAGTGGTTTTGGTTGCCTGTTAACCTTTCTGACCATGCCTTACGCATCGTCACGTGCAGCATTTTCATGTATCGATAATAAAATGCAAGGTCTATCTGTATTTTTTTTTTTAATTTTCATTAATTGTCTTTTCATGATTGCTTCATTCTCATTATTGTTTTTAGGAATTCGCTTACTAAGAGATGTTATTGAGCTATCTGAAAGAAGACCATCAGCTGTTCACTGTCATCACTCTTTGATATTGCCATAGTGATCGTGTTTTCTTCCTCCGCAGGCGGCCGGAAGAACGAGGTCTTCCGTCAGGAGTCGGAGCCGTACATCCGTAAGAATGACGTCATCGGCGTGATGCTCGACCTGACCGTGCCGTCGATCGAGTTCACCTTCAACGGGGAGAAGGTGCTCGGCTGCTTCCGGGACTTCAACTTGGACGGCATGTTCTTCCCCGTCATCAGCTGCTCGTCCAAACTCAGGTATCGTTGCGACGACTTTTGAAAGTGGTTTTCGACATTGACATGCAGACGTATGCTCCAAACGTGAGAATTGCTGTTGTGTTCTTATTACTCACAGTTTCCATATCGTGGAGGATAATGAATATGACGTTTTTGTTTACCCTGATATGTCGGTGAAAACATGGCCCTCGACTAGCGACATGCATCACGCCGACCTTAGGACATAACTACAGAACGACTAAGTGTAACGAAACGTTTATGCTCTCCCAACACTCAACCGAACCTTCTCTGACGTCGCCCCACAGTGCCCGGTTCCTGCTGGGCGGCGACCACGGCCGGCAGAAGTTCGAGCCGCCCGAGGGCTTCTCTCCCGTCTCCGAGTGTCTGCTGCCCGCCCAGCAGATGTCCATCGACCCGTGCTTCCACTTTGGCGAGCTGGCCAAAGGCGTGCTGGCCGGCCCGCTGGTGGAACAGGAGGACCCCGTGTTTGTACCGCAGCCCATCGACACGTCGGCGGTGAGAGGGAGAAAGAGAAAGAGAGGGCGGGAACACCTCACATGATTACCATGGATGAAAAGGGAAGAGGGACTGGGAGGGGTCGGGGTGCGTGAAAGCTTCATCTGGAATAATGTTGGAGCCTTTAGTGGACCTGGTCTATCAAAAAGCAACGGCGGGCTTATTTATGGTATCGGCTACCTTTCGTTCCTCATACATCCCGCACCCTCCTCCAAACAGGTATCGCTGCCGCACTACGTGGAGCAGATCCGTGACCGGCTCGCAGAAAACATCCACGAGATCTGGGCCATGAATAAGATCGACGAGGGGTGGCGATACGGCGAGGAGCGAGACGACGAGTACATGCTGCACCCGTGCCTGACCCAGTTCGAGCGGCTGCCGCCCGCCGAGAAACGCTACGACATCCAGCTGGCACTGCAGACTCTCAAGTACGGTCGGCACCGGAGGCGGAAGGGTGGATTGATGGGGATTGAGTGTAAAATGAAAGAGAAGGTATAGCTACTCATTCATGCATACCAGATGGATGTTCGGCTGGAATTTTTAATGTGAAGGAGAGTGCATAAAACTGTAATGCGGGAGCTTTTAATATCTAAGCTGTTTCATATGGCTTGGTGTTTGCTTTGCCTTTTATGCAAAATGTGCAATGCGTGCTTGTTAGCAACTCTTCTGAAGTGGCTTCCGATGGTTTCGCGTAGTTCCTGCACAGCCTGCCGTTGACATGAACTCTCATTTACCCTTCGGCAGGACCATTGTGAAGCTGGGCTACCACATCACGCTGGACAAGCCGCCGAACCGTATCCGCTCGATCCGACTGCCGAACGACCCGTTCATGCAGAGCAACGGCTACAAGCCGGCGCCGCTCGACCTCTCCCAGGTGTCCCTCACAGGTCAGTCAGGCTGAGGGGTCTGAGGGTAGCTTCACGACGGCAACTTTATTGCTTTATTGGGGTTTGTGTTTCTGAAATTGTATCGCCATTTTCCTTCGTGAGGTCATTAAGCGACTGATATGCCGCCATTATCACGTTGTAGCCGCCTTATACTGAATGTGCTGATGTCCGTTGACGTCACTGTCCCACTGTGATGTCTGATATTAACGTGCCATGCCATCAATGATGTCACAGGCAAGCTGGAGGAGCTGGTGGAGAAGCTGGCGGAGAACACCCATATGGTCTGGTCCAAGGAGCGCATCCAGCAGGGGTGGACCTACGGGCTCAACGAGGTGAGCCGGAGCAATGACGATAAACACAACTCATATGCATATCGCCGATTAGGAAATATAACTTGGTCTTGAAAATGCTTTTAAGCTTCGTGCAATATGATGTGACGCGGCTGTTGTGAGAATGACGATGCCGCTGGTTGATGTCTCTCGACGCTGCTCTGCCCACCTTGGACTCCCAGCCCACGACCCACGTCTCGACCCAAGACCATATTCCTTGACCCCTGACTGCTTTCCTGACCAGTGACATCTGACCCCAGATTCATGACCCCTGTCACTAATCTTTGACCACTGACCTGTCTCTGACTCCTGACATGACTCTCCTGTCCTGATGACTCCTGAAGCAGACCCCTTGAACTTGTGACCCTGACCTCCGTCCTTGTCTCCCTCAGGACATGGATATGATTCGCACTCCCCATCTGGTGCCTTACCGACGCGTGGACGAGGCTATCAAAAAGGCGAACAGAGACACCGCCAGCGAGGCTGTGCGGACTCTGCTGGTGTACGGATACATCCTGGATCCGCCGTCTGAACAGCATGACGACGGTAAGGAGTTGTATGGGAAAGGAAATGACAGTAAGGTGGGAAAGGACTAGTATAAATAGATACCGCGAATATTTTCAATCGATAACTGAATCACGAAACCAACCCGTGTTTTATGAACGACTCTTAACATTTAGCTCAACAACAATGAACGTCTGAACTCTGAGTACTCGTCAAGCATCTGTAACACACCCGTGCTGACTAGTGGCTACTCACGGTTCTGTGTGTGTGATACCCTGCCGAGCAGGCCCCACTGATGACCTGCTGAACGGACGGGCTAACTACCGCACCTACCGAGCCGAGAAGACGTACGCCGTCAGCTCCGGAAAATGGTAACCGAAATAGCACACGGGACCCTTGGGCTGTTATTAGCTTGCAGGGCGGGCGGAATATGATTGCCGAACTGTGATATAATTCCACAAGCTTGAGTTTTTTTTTGTACTGATTTATTAGGCTTTTATGTAGTTTAGCTAGGCTTCCACATCGAACTTTAGCTTTATTCTGTCATTGGTATTTTATTCGCTCTGATGAAGTTAAGTTTTTTTCTTCTTCAGACATTCGGTTTGCTTTGGTGATTGGAGTTTGATTTGCTGATTGCAGTCGCCAGGCATTTCGGTGTGACCCGGTGACACTTACCGCGCCGTTGCCAGGTATTTCGAGTTTGAGGTGCTGACCGACGGACCGATGAAGGTGGGCTGGGCCAGGATCGACGCCCACCCGGGCCGCCAGATCGGCCAGGACGACTCGTCCTGGGCCTTCGACGGCTACCATGTGAGTTAGATCGCCGCTTAGTCGTTGTGACTTACGTGCATTGGACTGAAGGGTCATACTTGCGTTTTGGCTATATCGTAAACGTTAACGAAGAGGGCTTATTAAAAGTAATGTGCATTAGTCACTTTTCGAGAGTTTGTGGTAACATCATGCTATAAATTTGAAGTGTGTATGTTGTCGAGAAATGATATTTGAGTTAAAGTAACAAAATAGTGTATCATTGCAACGTTTTCGTTACTGTGTCTGGGAACTGCGGCGTTACTGTGGCATGACAAACACTACTCAATCACTGAACCGTCGACCCTAAATAAAAACAGCTCATGGGTGTACCATTTAGTCACGTGTAGCGCATCTTGTGCAACGATAACATCCACTAAAGCCTGCTCATTGTCGAGGCCCGAGCGTTAGTACGTGTTTCTCTCGCCTGTACAGCGAGGCGATAGTGCCGCCATGCGCGCTTCTCGTGGACAATAACGTAGCTCGGATAGTCTAGTTGTCCGAACTAACGGCTGGCGGCTCACCGTGCCGCCCGACCCGGCCCGGTCCGCTCTGGGTCGGGTGAGGTCGGGCCGGTCGCTCCGTGACCCGAGTCACCCGGCCGCCGCCTGACGGTCCCGCGGTCTCCAGGCCCATAAACACCACAGCAACCAGGTGGACCTGCTGGGTCGCAAGTGGCACGTGGGAGACGTGGTCGGTTGCATGCTCGACCTCCACGACCGAACCATCAGTAAGTAGTCGCCGGCGCGCGGCCCCGGCCGATCGCCGGCGTTAGAGCTTGTGGCTCCCCGCCGCGCCGGCTGGAAAACCTGAGCGCTGTGGCGTAATAATTTGCGTTTTACTTGTAACAGCAGCATGACTGAGTGATGTAGAGGGAGCTTAATTAACTAACAACATAAACACGCGCTTTTTAGTTTCATTTCTGACCAGATTTCAAACATTAACACTTTCGCCCTCTTACTTCCATTTCACACAAACACCTCCCAGTTGAGAGCGTGGGATCTACTCTGTCCTCTGGTGGCTGTCCGCCCCGCCCCGCTGACCCGCCCGCCCCCGCCCCCGCCCCCGCTCCCGCCCCGGCCAGGAGGAGAAATGGTCCGGCGGCGTCTGCGAGACGTACGGTCACAAATGGCATGTCGGTGATGTGATCGGCGTGTTCCTCGACCTGATCGACCGAACCGTCAGTAAGTGTCGGCCGTGTAACGCAGAGGATGAAGAAGTGATCACAGCTCACTATACTCTGTTCCGTTTCAAGTTTGCAGTCGAAGCGCCCTGCTGAAAGCAGTGCGTGATTTCCGTATATTACAGCTCTTACATTTTAAGACGCAAATTCTTGAGCGGAGGAGCGATCTGCCGAAGAAACTCCAACTGCAAGCTTGATATGGAACAGACTATAGAAATAGCTAAAACTTCGCCCATGTCTGAAGCAACTAGTACGTAAGAGCGAAATATGTGTTATTTCCCTTAGCCACTGGCTTCGGGATAGATATCTTAGGAATAAGCGTTAGGTTCATCGTCTTTAGTATTGAAGGCTTGCTTATCCGAAACAGCCGAAATGCATCTAGCAGTTATTAAACCGTCTTTAGCTTCAGCTGACCAGTTTGTAATCATGCGTACTTTATAATCCCTCTATAGCCCACATGTCTTTCCGAAAGAAGCGCACGACAGGGAATTTTAGCCAAAGGTATGTAATAAAATTTGCTTTGAGGATGCCTTTCTTATGTTCTCTTTCATTTCCTCACTTAAGCTATCCCGTGAAGCTCGTCACCTTCTGCTATTCAAACTTTTCACAGGTTGAGAACATTTCGTAAAAGGGTGAAAGTAAGTGCAGACTGGTTAAAAAAAATAATTGCAGATTGATTGCAGAAGATTAAAAGGGCGACATTGCAACTGAGTGCATTACTCCCGTTCGATTTCTCGCTCAGTGTTTCTCCTAGTGATTTCTGAATGTACCCTTTCCGTCAGATTTCCTGTTGAATTCGCCCTCCGATGGATGCTGTTTTCATGTATATCCTCCCGTTGTCGCCGTCTCTCTCACCGGCTATACCCGTCCGTCAGGTTTCTCTCTGAACGGCGAGCTGATGATGGACGCGATGGGCGGAGAGACGGCCTTCTCCGAGGTGGCCGGCGAGGCCTTCGTGCCCGCCTGCACGCTCGGTCTGTCCCAGCGCACCCGTCTGGCGTTCGGACACGATGTGAACGCGCTCAAGTTCTTCACACAGTGCGGTCTGCAGGAGGGATACGAACCGTTCTGTGTGTGAGTTGTGGTCGGAGCTGGGTCAGAATGTGAGATAGGGGAGGCCGGGGCGTAGACAAAGTTTTGGGAGTATTTTGAAAGAGGAAAGAGTGCGTTTTTTTTTCTGAAACTATGGTTTAGTTGTTATATGTATGTGTCGTTCGTAGCACTGTTCAAGGAATCGTAATACCTTATTCCTACCTAATCTTGTGTTTGAGCCTTGCTTGGAAAGGCAAATATATTTCTCCGAGCTATCCTATCTTCCCTCGTCTCATCTCAGTCCCATGGTATCGCAACACTCAATCGTTCAATTTTCCCTCCCTCCACCCAAAGGAACATGACTCGTCCGATGACGTTCTGGTACACCAAGGACCAGCCCATCTTTGAGAACGTCGACGAGGTGGAGAACTCGCCGATCGACGTGACGCGCATCCCTGCCGGCTCCGACTCGCCGCCCTGCCTGCGCATCTCGCACGCTACGTTCGAGACGCTGGAGAAGGCCAACTGGGAGTTCCTGCGACTCTCGCTGCCCGTCACCTGCCAGACCGTCTTCATCGAGTACGTCCACTCGTACACGGCGGGAGTGATAGTGCATTGAAAAAAAAACAACAACAGAACTTTCGTTCTGTGAATGAGCTTTTGACATCTCACTTGATAGGGGAAGCGGGAACATTTTGTGATGCCAGTAACGTCCTCTCAGTTTTAGCTCTGCGGCACCATGTGCTTTGACGTCCTTCCTCCAGTCCCTCGCCGTTGTCGTGTAGTCTCCAGCTCACTCTCAAATCTAACGTTCTGACCCTCCGAGTACCGACCCCGACTGGGACTGTTTAATGTATAAGGCTTACTCTGACTCTTTTGTCATCTGCGCTCTCCACTGCAGTGAGACCGAGAAGGAGCGTCGCTGGCACGAGATCCGTGTCCGCCAGCACCGGCTGCGGCACGAGGGGCGCAACCGGCCGCCGTCGGCGCTCAAACAGTCCATGCTAGAGTCCGGATTCACCATGTCCGATATCAAAGGTCGGTAGGAAGGGGAACGTGTTGGACTGTGTCTTGCTGTGTGGGAATATTGCAGAGAAGGCCGACCGCAGAGTGACTTGCTTTAGTTATGTTGTTATGTTTGAAGAGACCACTAATTGTATTCGGACAGGATTATGATGAAGTAAAAGCGAAGTAGCTGACTGCTAGGGATGACAATTTTTGAATCGACGTTAAATGGTTGGCAAATAATGTGTACGTGCATTGTATAACTGACGCATGGCTGGTCCCACAGACCTGCAGAACGGCTTTGACGCCGTGGAGGCGGACGAGGTTCTGATGAACAAGGCCAACGGCGAGAAGGGCACTCCGGCCATCCCCCGCCGCGGCAGTAAGTTATCGAACGTCCTCCGAATGGCGCCTATCGCTTCTCGCTATGGAGGGATGAGGACAAGTTTGACAGAGGACGTGTTCAGAACGATAAACGATGATCCACACCAGACCGTGTTGATGCACCTGGGTGATGCATCTCCTTGGCTCCTTCTCCGTGGCTCCCTCGACTTCGACTGCTGACTGGAAACAAAATTTACCATTCATGGAACTTGAAAAAGTGCCTTGCTGCTCACATTCACCGAGATTTCTTTGTGGCACTGACCCGGCTGATGGTGTCCCCAGGTAAGATGGCGCGTGCTGCCAGCGAAATGGACATCCAGCGGGGACGCGCCGGGAAGGAGAAGACCCCGCAGCCGGACGGAAAGAAAAAGGAGCGCGGGAAGTCGCCGTTCAGGTATGCACTTTGCCCTGAACAGTTGAACAGATTCTTGTGTCGCTGTGTCACGGCAACTTTGAAGACTTTCTTGTTAATTTCATCCACCCATCACTTGTGATATCAGAGCCTATTAAAGGGACTATCCCACCTTTAACATGGGGTTTGAGTTGAGATAGCCAAGTTTGCGGCGAGGTTCAGAAACCACTATCTATCTAGGTTGCAACCCCCGCGGCCTCTTGGTGTTGAAGAAATTCGTTCCCATCATTTGAAAATGGGCCTTGTACAAGGCCCTATCTTCAACATGGAGCGACCGTTAGTGTGACGTCACCTCGTTTAGTCATTCTGATTTAAATGGGTTTGTTCGTTGAAAAATCGCTTAAAACTTGGTCTGAACTTTGTTGTGGTGCCTACAGAGTAAAAAGAATCAGCTTTATGACAGTAATGTGGCCTGGGGAAGGAGGTAATTTTGGGCTGTGACGTCCCATATTTGAAAGTTTGTGTTTGGAATATGGGCAGCCTAAGATGTTTAATGAAAAATAAATGCCAGAACCGTGTTCCTGGTCATCCAATCTATAAAGTCGGGCACAATTTAACTGGTTTTAACAACATTTTAGAAGGTGGGATAGTCCCTTTAAGAGAACACTGATACTGCCCTTTCTCATACCAGTAATCATCGAATGAGCCTGTCCTCCACTGAGACACCGTTCTGGGTGGACGGAGATCCAAAACCTGAAGACCAACCGGGCCCTGAACCTCACTTTCCACTGACTCCCTCTCCCGCACCACAGGTTCTTCAAGAAGCGTGACCAAAGCACGGATCGTGTCGGCGGGAAGCGAGGGAAGAGTCAGGACCGGGTGATCCCCACCCTGGAGCTGCCTGGAGAGCGGCCGCCGCTGGGGGCTCTCGGCGCCGGTGGATCGGCCGTCCGGCTGTCCCAGGTGACTGAGAACGAAGGGAGTGATATGGAACTCACCGTCGGGGCACATGGGACGAGACGCATGGCCGTACATGCAATAAGGCCGGCTCGTGACGTTATGTGCCGAATCATAATCGATGAAAACATAATAATGGAAGTTGGAACTTTTTCACTGCCGTCAGCCGAGTGATATTTATTTTACACTTTTTATAGCCCTGTGACGTTTTTATTTTCGTCAACTTATTCCGACCATGCTAAGTCAATGACCGTAGGTGACCGTGATCTGTGGCCCATGGCTGTTTGTAATCATGTTCGTTTTCTTGTGCGTGACCGTGACCATAACCGCACCTTGACATAAATGTGACATGAACGTTTCCTGTATCTCATTGCCTATCTGACAGCCGCTCTTCTATCTCTCCATTCCAGGCGGACATGCGTCTGATGCCGCCGCAGATCCCGGACCGGCTCTCCCGTCAGCGTCTGTCGGTAGCCAACGCCCAGCAGCCGGACGGAGAGCCGGCCGGAGACGATATCGGCAACGCCTTCGATGCCGAGTGTCTGCGACTCATCAACGAGTACTACTACGGCGTGCGCATCTTCCCCGGTCAGGACCCGGCGCATGTGTATGTCGGCTGGGTGACCACTCAGTACCACATCCACGGCACCACGTTCAGCCAGCAGGCTGTCAGGAAGGTCACCGTGGCGCATACGGATGGATATGGACAGTTCGGCGACAGGTCAGTGACCGTGTGGATGACGCTCCTCTCCGCTGGCCGCAGTTGGGTGATGGGGTAAACTGAGGGTTTTGACATAGTGCAGTACTTGGTTTCTAGATCCGCTTTCATAATTTTTCCGATTTTAGTATGATTTTTTTCTTTCGAACTACTCCGCCACCCATTATTAGGTGACCAGGAGTGCCCCCACCCTCAGCCCAGCGACTCACAGCACCTTACGTTAACACCAGATAAAAATAAAAAAGGATAAGTCGCGGCACTCCCAGCTAGGAAAATTGAAAAAAAAACAAAGTAAGCAAAAGAAGTGCGGGAACCGGTTAATAAATAAAGAGAGCCAAAGTAGTCATTGCTGAAAGCAGCGGATGACTGTTCTACTACATCTAAGAAAGAAGTCATTCATACATGCATACATAATTGGTTATTAGAGTGCATTCAGCCTTTCACTCCTAGAAGAAAAATCAGCAAATGGCAATCCAGTGGGGAAACATTTCTGGTCAATTCGAGCGCAGGTCAACAGCCAGACTTTCTAGGGCCCACCAGCTAAGCAGGGCTTGTTGCTGATGGACCCCTTCAAGTCCGGCGTTCCATTTGAGTGGGGACGTATCTCCTGTGTTGATAATCACAAAGGTAGGTTACATTATCAACACATCATTGTCAGCCTAGCCCAACAATAAATGCACCAATATGTCCATTTATTATTGGGCCACTTGTCGAGATGCTAAGCACTTTGTATGAAAAGTACTAGGTAAGCGTGTGTATTACGCTATTTAGGTATGTATTGCTATTTATTATCATGTTCTTGTTGTTTTTCTTATTGTAAGATTTAACATATTTTCATATTCATTTATAGGTATATTTACGAGGATACTTAGTACCCAGGATTACTTAACTAATACTTTTGCTAATACTTCACTTAAACTTTTGATAAGTACTTTTGCTTAGTACTCACTAAGTAAGATATTCTTTACATATTTTTTGAAAGTGTTTTTTTGATTGAGGTACTTCTTCTAATAGAAGATCTTTAGCTATTAAGTCATTCCAGAGTTTGGGTCCGATGCAAGGAAATGAGTAGAGCCTGTAATTTTTTGTTGAAAAAAACAGGTTGAAAATGATGGATATTTCTTGTCTGATGGATAGGGTCAGTTGAAAGATGAAGTAATCGTCTTACAGAGACTGGTAATTCCTGCATTATGTACTTATGCATGATAAGCATTATTTGAAGTTTGGCTACGTCTTTAATTTTAAGAATACTATATTTTTTAAATATTGGGGTAGCACTTTGTGGTGGGAAAATACCTTCAATTAGTCTCATGGACCTTTTTTGCAGAATTACCAGCCTTTGAAGGTGGTTTTCATAGTTGGAACCCCAAATGAAACAGCAGTAGTTGATGTAAGGAAAAATCAAAGAATAATATAATTGAATGAGCTGCTGTTTTGGGATAAAGCGTCTAGCTCTTGCAATCATTCCAATGTTTCTGCTGATAATTTTACATATGCTACTGATATGAGATGTGAATTTGAGGTCAGAGTCAATAAGGATTCCTAAATATTTCACTGTTTTCATTTCAACTACTGCTGTGTTTCTAATGTAAATGTTTAGCTTTTCAGCAGTTCTCCGTTTTGAATATACTTGGAGAAATGTTTTTGATGGGTTCACTGTGAGGTAATTTGCTTCTAGCCATTCAGATATTTTTGACAGGGCTGCATTTGTTATTTCTTGAAGTGTTTCTCTGTTTTTATGTTTGAAAAATATTGCAGTATCATCTGCATACAGCATAATTTGCCCTTCAATTGGAAGATTTGCAATGTCATTTAAGTATAGAATGAAAAGGAGTGGTCCAAGAATTGACCCCTGCGGCACTCCTATTTTTATTTCTCGTTCAGTTGACTTGACCCCTTCTATCTGTACCACTTGAAATCTGTTTGTTAAGTATGATTTGATTGTTTTTAGAATATTTCCTCGAAAACCCATTTTGTTTAACTTTTCTAGTAGTATTTGGTGTTCTACAGTGTCAAATGCTTTTGAAAGGTCAAGAAAGACACCTGCTATAATGTTATTAGTTTCCAGTGCTTCAGTTATGTAGTCTTGAATAAGCATGACTGGCATGTAGGTAGAGTTATTTTTCCTGAATCCAAATTGATTGTCTGAGAGAATGTGTCTGCTTGTTGCAAAGTCTGTCAGTTGGTAGTGGATAACCCTCTCTAATATTTTTGAAATTATTGGCAAAATGCTTATTGGTCTGTAGTTAGATAAGCTATTATGATCTCCACTTTTGAATATTGGCTTCACAGATGCTATTTTTAAGGGATCTGGGAAGGTTCCTGTTGAGAGGCATAGGTTGAAGAAATAAGTAAGCTTTGAAAGGATAGGTTTGTAAGAATGTTTCAATATTTTTGAATTGATTCCATCAATTCCAGCACCAACATCTTTAAGCTGATTAATTATTTGTTCCACTTTATCTTCAGTGACACTAGAAAAGTTAGTCATTTCTCCTTCTGTCTCTCGAACATTTTCTAAGGGATTTGTGTTGTTACAAGGAATATTTTGTTTCAACTTTTCCCCTATTTCTGTGAAAAATTTGTTGAAACTTTCAGCCATTGACATCATTTCTTGACCGCTATTCTCAGTGTTATTTAGTGTTTCACCTGGCAAAATATCACATTTGCTTTTTTGTTTTAGAAGTTCATTTAATGTTTCCCATGTCTTTTTGGGGTTCCTGTTGTTTTTTTTGAAATTCTGCTTCATAGTAGGCCTTCTTTGAGTTTGTAATTGCCCTATTTAGACAGTTTCGATATTTGTTGTATTGTGCTATATTGTATGAATTAGGATTTTTAAGTTTGTTCACAAACATTTTGTTTTTGTGATTGATGGAACAGAGTATAGCTGGGGTCATCCATGGTTTTATGAAGTTATTTTTTCTTGAGCATGTTATGGTTTTTGAACACATAGCAATGCCATCCTTGTATGCTTGTATAATCTGTATGCAGGCCAGTTCAGGATCTGTTTGAGTGGTGAGATCATCAAGACTCTCTATTAGGTGGCCCTTCAGGTGTTCAATTTTATTGTAATCAAATACTGTTCTTTCCTTATCCTTCTTTTCTAATATTTTATATTCAACATTTGCAGTTGTAAAGATTACAAGGTGGTCTGAAAGGTCTGTTACAATTACCCCTGGTACTACTATTTTAGACAAGTCATTTGTGAAGATATTATCAATAAGAGTACTTGAGGTTGGGGTAATGCGGGTAGCTTTAGAGATAGTTGGCAAAAATCCAAAACTGCACATCAATGTAAAAAATGATTCATTTGCAGGATTATTATTAATTGAGAATAAATCAAAATTGAAGTCACCTGCAATGAATGCAAGCATGTTTAGTGCGGTTAAGGCGGAAAGAAACTGTTCCATTTCAAGAAGAAATTCCCATTCATTATCAGGGGGTCGATAAATTTGACAAATAAGGAAAGATGGCTTGTTTCCATTAGTTACCTGTAAGGTAACTACTTCTGCTGTTTTGAATTCATGTAGTATTATCTTTTGGATGCCAGTGAAATATTTGTCATAAGCAAAAATTGCTGATCCCCCTCCTACTTTAGTTTCTCTGCTTTTGTAGAAAGCCATATATTCATCCCCTAAGCAAAACTTATTTTCTATTTTTGGATTGAGCCAGGTCTCTGAAATGCATACAAATGCCATCTTCTGGTCTATTTGTGCCAAAAATGTTACAATTTCATCAAGTTTATTCACCATTGAACGTGCGTTTATATGGATGATAGAAATGTTATTTTCAAAACAGTTCAGGCTTCTCACCTTGGTACATTCATGAAATTTGCAGCTGGTCCTGACCTTATCATATTGGGAATGAGTCGTGGATATGTTGCTTATATCATTTATGAAGGGATCAAAGGTTAAATTATAAAGATCAGATAAGGTTGACTCGTCAGCCAGCGTACCAGTTACCGCGATAGATAAGAAAAACGGCTCTCTCTATCGTCTGGATAAAAATAGGCCCCGCCCATCCCAATCAGCTGCTGCATGACGAGTTGATGACGACAACCACTACTTACCAGCAACCAATCTAGGGATAGCGTACGTGACAGTAATGGTGCAGCGGTTGCAAAATATTACATTGTTATTCAAACGGTTTTTGCTTTTAGGGCCTTGTTAGATGAGGATGAGGTTAGATTGAGATTAGATGAGGTGTTGATGAAGGCAGGTATTTTTTTAAAATATTTTTTTTGACAATTTTTTGCCCTTGTTTTACTTAATAGCTCAAGCTGAACCCGGGACCACCTGAAGTCAAAACCTTATTTTATATAACATGTCAATGCTGATGCTGTCTTGAAATGTGAAATTTAGACAATGGTAATAGGAATAATGAATAGCAATTTCACCAACAACATTTTAATCTCTAGGAAGTGCAATTAAAATTAAAATCACTGTCTGCCACACTGCTCCGATCCTGGTCATGCAACCGACGTTCATGGGTGGTGTTTCACAAATTCACGGCAGAGCACTGCAGTGCGCTGCGTCATGCGTGTGTCAGAGCATTGGGTTTCCATGGCAGTGTCAACAAACTTCACTGTGACGCGAAGCTATGACAGCATCCCAGAACGCTAGCACGCTGCAGTACCAGCACCAGCAGCATGCTAGCAGTATTTGAACTCAAACCTCTGTTCTTGGTACGGTTTTTCAGAACCTCTCACTCTGTTCCAAACGCGATTCATCATAAACTAAGAGATCACATGCAACGTCATTTGAGTGATGCTATGGTATGCCGTAGCTACCAGTGCACACAGTGTCTGGATGGTGAAACAGGGCCATTATTAATCACATTTGCTTTGCTTTGTTTCAGCAGAAACCTGTCTGCACATGGGAGGAGTGCAACAAAAGCCCATCAAGTTCATGCATGGCAGTGGATCTTAACAGGAGAAAATCAGAAAGAACATGGATGCTTGTAGATTGCAGTTGTACACTGCTGTTATCACCTGATGTGCGTGGCTG